AGTCGGATTTCACCAGAATTATTTTTTAATATAATTTCTTGGGTATGTGCCCATGGAACCTCACAAATATGATATAATAATAATCTTATGAGGATAAAAATGTAATAATGGAATTCTTAAACTCGATGAAATAATCTTGATGCATTCTTTAACTCAGGCCTGCGGCCTTCGTTAAAGAATACATCAAGATTATTTCATCTCGTTTAAGAATTTCCATTATTACATTTTTTTCCTCATAAGATTATCATATTACATAGGTTTTGCTTTGCTCAAAACTTTGATAGCACAACTTATCTACATTCTACAGTCTTAGATAATCTCAATACTCAGGAAGGATCTATTTATTTTACAGTCTTAAATGTTCTCATATCTCGTCATATTTTTGTTACCGCTATCATTTCAAGATTTGATTTTTATATTTGTAGATGGGTTCTAGTTATGTAGAACAGGCAGTACAAACCTTTCTATCTCTATTCGGAGAGAACCATCTTTCACAGGAATCTTAATATTTAACAAGAAATTGAGAGGGTCAGGTCAAATCAGGTCACTTTAGGTCACGTTAGTTCACGTTAGGTCACGTGAGGTCACTTCAGGTCACTTCAGGTCACTTCAGGTCAGGTCAGGTCAGGTCAGGTCAGGACAAATTAGGTGATTAAGTCACGCCTAAGTTAGGTCAGTGTTAAAAAATAACGAAAAAAACGATGTTGATATTTCATGAAACATTAAGCTCTCTTGAGTGCAGGCAATTCTATCCGGTGAGGGATCTGGTTCAAAGGTTGTTGAGAAGTTTCTTTCAATTCTCACGTTTATTGTATCCGAACCTGGGCCAACATTTAGGAAATTTGTTCCGAGCACGCTTTCACTCTGCTTAGGTAATTCTTAAAGGAACTGACAAGCGTAACTTTAAGTAACCCCTCAGGTTTACAACGCTATACAACGGTGAAAGTGTTAAATTTTGAATATCGCCTTATGTTTTCCTGCAGTAGAAGTACGCTAGTAACTTTTGTAAAAATCACAATTGAAAATAATCAGTTTTTAAAATCAATAACATGGATATCTAATTCTATTTGATCGTACAAAGCTTTTTAGGGTACCAAAAATCGGGCATAACCATCTTTGCATGGAGGGTCACTTGAAATTACGCTTACAGTCCCTCCAATAACTAACTTTAGAAACAATAATGATGTTTGTTTTCATTTTAGAACATATTTATCCTCTGGTGGCGACTCGGGAAACGTCTGATATACGGGCCCCCATGTACTCACTCTTATATCATACTTTACTAAACAATTGGCAATATTTCTTCAAATCGACAATAGCAGGTACAGGAATTTATTACTCTGATTCACTCACTCACTTACTTAAAGTCTCACACTCACTCACCCCTCTCTTACTCACTTACTTCTCTCATGCACTCACACTTACTCAATCATTCACTTACTTACTTACTCACTCACTTACTCACTTACTTACTTACTCACTCACTTACTTACTCACTCTCACTCATTCAATCGCTTACTCACTCACTCATTCACTCATTCATTCAGTCAGTAACAGAACTGGCCAAATGAAGGACAAGAATGAAAAAAGTAAATGATAACTTTTTGTAGGTCGTAGTTTAAATAGCAACGTTGAGGAAGAAACAAACAATAGCGAGGTTTTTCTTCTAACAATGCGGGCTTTTGGTCAATCTTTTCTTCAACCTGATATTTCAGTGTTCAGGTAATATGCACTTGACAATAAAAAAATGATTGGTTTTTAAACTTGAATGTTTCAGGCAAAATTTGAGTAGTTTGGAAGACTTACACCTAAAGTGGAAGCTTTACCAGAAACCCATATTTCTTGAACATCTAATGGCCGAGTTCCTTACCGTATTTGTCCAGGTGCTTGTCTCCAAATCCCACAATCTGCTGAAGGAAGAGATTTCCATGTCCATTTTCAATATGGCGTTGGTTGATTTTCCCGCGTTTTTTGACAAATTTCTCCCGCATTTACTTTCTGGTACAGAACAGCTGGATGAAAATCAACGCTCAATACTACTGCAAGGAATAAAACAGAAAAAAATAGAAGAAAAAATCATTTTTTAGGAAAACATAAAAATCATTCTGTAGGAAAACTTTTCCACCTCAATTTTAATTTGTTTTAACTGTTTTACTATAAAGGATTTCGGAGAGATGTGGACTTACCTAGCTTTATAGCCAACCTTTCCCGATTCATAACAGATTTGCGTTTTTACCAGCTCATCAACTCCAGTCTTCCCTCTGGTTCCATAACATTCTAGTTATAACCAGTTTTAGTAGAATCTAGTTGTAACCAGATTTATTAAGAATAAGAAGAATCTAGAAGTTAATCTAGTTCAACCAGGTTTCAGTTGAATCCAGTTCCTACCAGTTTCTACTGGTTTCTACTGGTTCCATGAGCCTCCAGTTCCAAAAGCTTCCAGTACTTGAAATACCATCCAAAGTCTCATTATCTACCGTTGTTTTAAGTTATAGAATCATTGTTTGATAGTTCCATTGATTCCTTATCCATTCATAATAGTAATAATAATAATAATTGCAGGCAATCTTTAATTCTAGGAAATTAGACTTGAGTTTGATCTTATTTTTCTTTATACTAAGAGCCTCTCTTGAAATCTAAGAGCCCTTGGAAAAAACAAGTCGCCCAACCCATTAGCGTGTTTGCCAATTAACCTTAAAAAGCTGATGGTTACTGAAAATAGTTACATTTACAATTTACAAAATAAAATATATGGGCCGTTAAATGGTTTTCAATTGTTCATTGTCAAGTACTGTGATTTTTTGCATTTTTAGTCAAGTGTGAATTTTTTATACTTTCAGATTTTTATTCTTACTTTTCAACTGTGATATTTCTCTGAATGGTCTCTCCATAAAGGTAAAGAAAGGGGGAAAGGGGAGAGGGATGTTAAGAATTTTAAAGGGAAATATATGAAAGATTTGAATATTTTTCATCTAAGGTTTTATTGGTCAATCGGATTGAAAATATTTATTGACTTTTTTGTGACTTCTATGTTATGTTTTTAACTATAATTGTGTTGTACGTTTGTTTTAATTATGAAAATTAAAAGAGCCTTCATGAAAAGAGTTGGATATATTAAAGGACACCGTTGTGAATCTGACATGTCACTTAAAGTGATCATGATTAATCAAAATTATTAAAAATTACGTATACAGTCCCTTAAAACGATTTTTACTAGATAATGTATTGGACGTTCGATAGCGGGAAGGTGTCAAAAATTGACACAATCTTAGAAAATGAAAATGTTTCTCTCAATGAGGTATCCTTTTTCTTTTATTTTCTTCTTTTTCTGTTTTGATTAAATGCCTGTCTGTGAACATTTAAACTTGTTTTCCATCTCTAATATTTAAGCTTGTTTCATTGTTTTCAATTTTTAACCATTTTATTCCAGTTCACTTGTTTTAAAGTTTTCCTATATTTCACAATACAAGTTTGGCTTTTTATGGGAATTTGATTTTTAACCCATGTTTGACCTTTAATTGATCTAACCTTTGACTTTTTACGTGAAATTGACTTTTAACCCATGTTTGACCTTTAATTGATCTAACCTTTGACTTTTTACGTGAAATTGACTTTTAACCCATGTTTGATCTTTAATTGATCTAACCTTTGACTTTTTACGTGAACTTGATTTTTAACCCATGATGGACCTTTAATTGATCTAACCTTTAACTTTTTACTTGAACTGGACCTTTAATTGATCTAACCTTTGACTTTTTACGTGAACTTGACTTTTAACCCATGTTGGACCTGTAATTGATGATTAATCTAAAGAGTTGACTTTTTACAGTTGACTTGATTCATTTTTGATTTATTAGAGTTTGACCTTAATTTGTTGTTGGTTGATTCAAACTTAAAAGCTTGAGCTTAATCTTGACTTTGAACTTTCGCCCGACAACTTTGAATTTGATTTTTAAACCATGTTTAAATAATCATACCTTTGACTCTTCATATGGACTTGACTTTTAAGCCATGTTTGATCTTTACTTGATCAAACCTTTGACTTTTCATGTGAACTTGACATTAGCCAATGTTTGACCTTTGTCCTAAGTCCGACTTTCGACCTCAGTTGGACATTTGGCCTCAGTTTGAAATTTGTCCAAAAATTGACTTTTGAGGTAAGTTTGACATTTGACCTGAGTATTCTCTAGATACTGGAGCAGGAGGATATTATCCAGGAGTGTAAAAACCAGAACAAGAAGTTGGTGGATTTTCTAGCAAAAGCTGAAGTTATTGCTCAGCTTCTAGATCTAATTCTAATGGTAGTAAATTCAAAGAACGACTATCTTGAAACTTCTCACATAAAAACTATTATATTTTCCTCAAAAATGTGATCAATAAAGTACAGGTTGTCTCAAAGAATAAGGGTCTACTGACTCGTTTGTAATCGGGTTTTCAAGATTGAGGCCATTTTTTAAATCTACGTACAATTTTTGATTCAAAAATCCCAATTTTTGGCTGACAATTTTTAAAGCTCCTAAAGTTTCCAACTGGATCGATTAATTTTGTAAAAATAAGATCATCTCCGTTTGCACAATTTATTTAAGGGTATAGCTACAGACTTGCTTGTAATCGGATTTTCAAGATTGAGGCCATTTTTGATATCCACGCACAATTACCGATTCAATGAGACCAAGCCTAAAATTGGGCTCATTGGATCGGAATTTGTACGTAAGTATTAAAAATGGTTTCAATCTTGAAAATCCGATTACAAACAAGCTTGCATAGACCCTTATGTGCAAACGGAGATTATCTTTATTTTTACCAAATTTAGTCACTCCAGTTGGAAAGTTCAGGAGCCTTTAAAATTGTCATTTTTGGATCTACAAGTCTAATATTGGTCTCTCGAACCAGAAATTGTAAATGGGTTTTAAAATCGGTATGTAGACCCTTATTCCCCGTTTTTTATTAGACACCCTGTAGAAGATATTTTGTTTTTCTAGTTTTAACTCAGATCATTCCATATGTTTTCCTGCAGTAGAAATGCGCAAGTCCCTTTTGTAGAGAAATCACAATCAAAAATGATAATTTTTCAAAATTATAATTATTGATATTTAATAAATTCTTGATGAAACAAAGTTTTTAAGGGTACCGTTGTGAATCGGGTATTGCCTTCTTTGCATGCTTATGTTTATGTGGTGTTGATTCTCAGGACTCCTATTGGAGTATAATGGAGGGTCACTTAAAATTACGCTTACAGTTCCTTTAGAAAACAATTTCGTTTAATTAACAAAAAAAATTGTTTTAAGATTTACTGATTAATTGAATAAAAGACGAATTTAAATTATTTTTTTCTTTTTTAATTAACAAAAAACATTATTATTAGATTTACTGATTAAAGGAATAAAAGACGAATTTTAATTATTTTTAATAATTTTTTTTGCTTATTTTTATGCTGAAACTCAATGAACCATTTGGAAATTAAAAAAATTTTCATGATCTCTTTTCAATAATGCAGATTTAGGTTTTGAGAGCAAGAAGTTTTTTTCAGTTTTGAGTTGTTGCACATTGAATCCGGATCCGGAATATTTTCCTAATCCGCATCCTACGCACTGGTTTCACCATTGTTGTTTAGGAGCCTGATGAAGAAATTGATGAGAAGATCCGATACAAACTCCCAAATATCGCGAGTGAGCTAATTACATGCGATATCCAGGCGGTAATTGTCTTTTTTATTGTTGCTTTTTTATGAGTATATAAATTTTTTAGAGTTGCACATTTTTGATACTTTGTTTTCTTGACCTTCAATTCAGCGAATATCACACCACGAAAAAAGTTTTTATTTAACCTTTTAGTTATTTTTTACCCTAAAGAAAATATACACCTCTGTTCTGTTTTCAAGTGAAAATAATAAGAATTGAATTTTGATTACTTAATACAAATCAAATTTTAACTAACGTATTCATCAATCACTAGTGAGTTTTTGGTTGGTTGAAAGTTAATGAATTTGTTTTATATGTGTGGATATTGTATGCCAAATTTTATCAACAATTTGATTTTGGATTGACTGATAGAATAATGGATTAAATTTTTGGTTGATTGATTTTCTATTGCTGGGTGGATTGATTGGTCGATGGATTTATATTAATTTTTTATTTGATGTATTGATCAAATTGGAATAAAAGTAGAGAATATTTATCATAAAAAAAACTGGTTGGTTGGTTGGTTGATTCATTCATTCATTCATTCATTCATTCATTCTTTCATTGAGTGATTGATTGATTGATTGATTAGATCAACGAGTCCCTTGTTGGAAACACCCAGCTGATGGATCGAATGATATCCTTCCTGGACACGAAGTCGACATTGAACCCTCTCCTCTCCTCGTTCTTTAGCAAGGCATTCGGGGTCCTTATCACACGGAGATCCGACCAGGTAGAAACGATGAGGGAGGAGGTTACAGGGTTGTTCATTTTTCAGAATTGCCCGCCCCTGGAGGTTACAGGGATGTTTATTTTTGATAAATGAAGAAAGGCAACTTTTTTATTCTTTTTAATACTTTTTACCGAAAAATTAATCGATTTTACCTTAAAAACTATTTTTTTACCACAATTCAGTGAATGAAGCCTTACAAAAAGTTATGCGCTCCTCTCAAACATATATCTTCTAAGGGGGAAAAAATATTTTCAAAAAGGGGGGAAGAACAACGAAATTTTGAGAACATATACACCCCTAGGACCTGGGTGGTTTAGTGATCTATGGTATTTATAAATTAGTTTTTTATTTTTAATTTTTTGTTTCTGAAATTTTTTCCTGGTGCAAGAGAAATCCGTCACATTTGATAGTCCAAATTCATATTAATATTATTCTTATTTAAAAGGATGTTCTTAATGTTATGTACAACTGTTGCATGTAATTTTGATCAGAAAATTATTTTGTGTATTCCAATTAAAATGTACCTACAGCCTGATAAAAAATATGTTTCTTTATAACACTGGAACTATCAGAGAGATTTCAAAATTTTTAAATGTTACGGGATAAGAATATTTTATGATTAATGATCTTAGCTGAAATTTCGCTGATTTTCCTTTTCATCAAAGGATTTAAAAATTGTTTAAAACCAATAAAGAGGACCTACCAAAACAATTTTCAGTTCACAAAAAGCCATTTTGAATTTGAAGTATGGAAGAAGGACATTCCTAGAAGTCTGATTTGTTTCGATTGGATACTAACATAAATACTCCAATTAACCCAACTAACAAATAAATATTACAATCTGATAGTTCTGGTCTTAATGTTGTCCTGTGTGTTTGTCTGAATGTTTTCTATTATTCGCTTAGAATTGGTATTCCTATCAGTTTACCACCGTTCAAGTTCTGACATACATCAAGACCCGCCCCGGGTTCACCGGCCTACTTCTCCGTCATGTTCATACCTCTGCCGTCATGGATCTGCTGCTCCGCCTTATTACCTGTGTGGAAGGGAAAGAGAATAGAGAGATGATTCTTAAGGTAAACCAATGAATGAAGACGCCAAGGGTATATACAGATGGTGTTAGGTATTTTCTCAAAGGCAATTTACCAAGGGCAACTTCCCAAGTGACAATATTCCAAGTGGCAACTTCCAAAGCTTAGGTTAGGCCTTCTGAGGTGCCATAGGCTGCAATGGGGGGAGCGCTGCTGCTGGAACAGGCTAGGGGCCGAGCGCTGCGGCTAGGAAAACTTGGGAAGTTTCAGGTTGGGAAACTGCAAATTTGGGAAGTTGCCGCTTGGGAAAATAACCTTGGGAAGTTACCGCTTGGGAAGTTACCGCTAGGGAAAGTACCATCTTAGATAACTAAGGAAGAGGTAGACGACTTTTACGAATCGAGCTACAACTTTAAATTGTCCAATGAACATGAGACATTGTGCAGTGTACACAGACACATTCTACTTAATAAGTGATATCATAGGTTACCAGTAAAACTTGTTGGTTCTCACTGTAGGTTGAAGAAGGGGACATGATTTTCAATGATCTGGGTAAAATATGAAAAATCGGACACTACTGGGCGAGTACCCAAACCTCTTGATTAGTTTTAAAGAAAATATTTTGTTTAATTTCTTCCTCCCGTTAATGGATAAACAAAACATCAATTTTATTCAGTATAATTGTTATTAATAAATAGCCCATTATCCAACACACCAGGCTGCACAAGTTTTCACCAAAATTAGAAACTTGTCTGCTCAAACTATATTGATGAATTAACCAGTTGCCAGGAAGCTATAGACAATAAAACAAGGGGTAAATATTTCAAATTTAAAGTTGTACAGCTTGGTTGCACTGAAACAGGGGTCGATTCTCCGGGCCATTTAATGTATTCATAGACAAACAGTCCTAGGAGGAAGATTTACTTAGGCGATTTGATGCTATGAAAACTGACCTAGAGGAAACCGACATAATTATCGAGTATTTTTAAAGAAAATATAGTTTTTACGGATTTTAATAAACTCCATTATAATTTCGTCCAAACTTCATCCAACTCTACCTACCCAGCTTAACCTTTTATAACTTAAAATACAAATTTAGGTCGGAAAACTTCTGAGTCCGTTTCTTTCCAGTCGGCTAAATTTCCTTAATTGACAAAGTAATGTTTTCTAGTGGCTAAATGATGAGAAATTGATCGAGGACATTATTCAACTATTCTCCAGTAAACAGCAACCTCTGAACACAACGGAGGCTGTTGGTGATAACCCGCATCAGATACAGGAGAATCAGGTTAAGAAATAACTTAATAAATTCATGTGAGACTTCATTGGAAAGGGTTTCATGCACGGTTCACAACTGTATCATTTAAAGGGAGAGTTCGTGAAAAATGAAAGGGGGTATAGGCTTACGGCGAAATAATCAATTTTGATCGCTACTGATTTTATTTCTATCTGTTGCGTCTATAAGGAGAAATTTGTTTAAAACGACTCATACCGAAGAACGTAGCGTCCATACAAATTCAGAAAGTTGCAACATTCAACTCAGTTCGAAAAAAATCAATTTAATTCCAAACAAATCATTCAGATATTACAAACAGAAGTCATCGATCATTTTTCGACGCATTCGTATATAGTTAATATTTCATAGTATTTTTGATTTTGTTCTTTCAAAATAATATTTCGAACATTCCTGGAAAATATGAAAATGACGTCTTCATTATCAAAATCCTCGAAACAGGAATAAATGTCTTCAAAAGTAACTATCAGATTATAAAAAATTTAAAATACTATGTAAATTTTTTAGTTTTTTTTAAATTCATACTTTATTGATTTGCATTTACTTGCATTTTTCTGTCATACTTTAAGTTCAAGTAAAGCTGTTTATCGTTTTGGATGAATTGTTGAAAATAATATTTTGATTATAGGAGGCTCCTGGACAAGAACCGGAAGTAGGAGTAGGACAGGAAGTAGAAGGTGCTGGGGAAGGAGAAGGTTCCGGGGAAGGAGATGGTGAGGATGAACCGATGTCTGTGGAGACCGATGAACCTCTGGCTACAATCAATCCAACGGAGGAAAAAACTTACGAGGTATAAAAATTATGAAAAAAGTTTTGTAGTATTTTTTAAGGAATATGAATGTATTGTTCAACTGAAACCTCGGTTCTTGGAAATCTTGGACCAATTGTTGGAATTTAATTTAAGTTTTTTTTTCAATTGAAAGTTGGGACAATTAAGCATAGAATTTAGGAACGGTTTTGATTGATCATTTATTTTTTGATCTTAGGCTTTATTGGTAACCTGAATGATGGAATTATTGATTGATTGAGTGATGAAATTATTGAAATTTTTAGTGATTGATTAATTGGTTGTTTGATTGATTGATAGATTGTGTATCAGGAGAAGGATAAGCATGAAATCGCCGGTCAGCTTTTTGTTGAGATTATCCATGTGTCATGTGATGCCCTGCTGGGATTGATTGATTGGCTAATCGATTGGCTAATTGATTGGTTGTACATTGTACAATTGGTTGAACGTTTGATTGATTGATTGTGTATCAGGAGTTGATGAATGAGAAGGATAAGCATGACAACGCCGGTCAGCTTCTAGTTGAGATTATCCGTGTGTCACGTGATGCCCTGCTGGCACCAACAGATGATAATTTTCTTGATAACTCTCTTCTTCACACAGCAGAGTCTAAACAAACAGCTGAGGTGAAACTTCTAACTTATGCAACTTCTAACTTATGCAACTTCTAACTATGCAACTTCTAACTTATGAAGCATTGTCGTAGGAAGCTTATTTTTTCCATGCAAACTCAAAAATGTGTATAACACATGCATTTTTTTGTTAAAACGGATCTGAGCAATTGGCGAAACATAATATCCTGCATGTTCAGTTGCTGTTGGACATGATGCTGGTAATCATTTCACCGGGACAATTTAGTAACATAATATCCCGCATATTTAATTGCTATTGGACGTGATGCTTGATAATCATTTCACCGGGACAATTAAGAAACATAATATCCCCCATATTTAGTTGCTATGGACGTAATGCTTGATAATCATTTCACCGGGACAATTAAGAAACATAATATCTCCCATATTTAGTTGCTGTTGGACGTGATGCTTGAAGCTCCTCTCCGTGAATCTGTGATAGTGAACGGTATCTCTGTACTCCTGGTTCTACTAGATGTACGGAAACCAGCCCCTCAAGGACAAGCCCATTATCCTTACACATCTGATCAGGTATCTTTTAACCCTGGATTTTTTCATCATCTTTTTATATATAGAAATAAGTGATCTCAGTTCAAGACGATTTGCATATCCGATTTTAACTTGTAAATTGTATTGTGCATTAAGTTGGATTGTTTTTGGTGTTTATTCGGGGTCATAAAATATAAGAAGAGTACGAACTGTTCATTTTACACATTTTCTTTAAATTTTGACAATGAGAATAAAAATATGCAAAAAAAAAACGACAAAGTTACAATCATAATCATAAAGACCCGGAATTAATGTATAACTACTCAGACGACTTTACAATCTAGTTTTATAAATATGATTAAAAAACGTTAATAACAAAATAGATTTAGTCCTTCCAATTCCAAAATGTGGTCTGCCTTTATTGTGTGGTTAAAATTACCGGCCAGAGGTATGTAATTAAAGTCATCTGATTAACTGTCAATTAATTCTGGTCTTTCTGATTACCACTGTATAACAATCGTGTTAAGATCGTTTTTTACTTTTAAGGACAAAGATATAGCAAAAGTTTTAAAAACAAATGTTTGTAAGAAAATAGTTTTAAAATCTTACAAGTTTTATTCAAAGTTTAAAAAATAACGAACCAAACAGTTATCAGCAAATACTCTTGAACCTTTTGACAGATTTTCTTAGATTTTTTATAAAACATTTCGGTAGATTCACAGGAATGTTCTTAGCTTGGTTTAAATATGCTTAGTTGAGTTGGTTGACGTTAATAGTTTCCAGTCAGAATTGTGGGTTCTCAAGCTAATTAATTTAATACATTATCAGTTTATTTTATTTCCTCAGTTCTAATGTAAGTTCCTGATTAATCAATATTGTATGGTGGATACGGTTGGAGTGCATACCAAAACAATTTGTTTATTGAGATTGCTGCGCGGCAATTTTTTGGTAAATGATTACATAATACATATTGTTGTGGCATGCATTCCCTCCGTCGCAGGATAACATGCCAAACACAGCCGAGTTTGCGAGGCAGGAGCAGGTCATGATACAAACCGTTGAGGCCATCATCCCTCGTCTACCTGACCTCGTCTCTATCCTCTCAAATCCTCCAACTAAACCTCCAGTTCACACAACAGCAGGGATACTAGATCCCCCCCTCGGACCCACCAGGTAAACATGGATACGTTGTTAGAATCTCTCCAACCACAATCTTGCAATATTTTCAAATTCAATTAAAGAGAGACAGAAGTGTGTCTGTTTTGTAAAAGGACATGTCAGACCGTTTTGTCCATGAACACAATTTGATCGAACCCAATTTCACAAAATTATAGGTTGACTTTTAATAAATTATAATATGCTAGGCTTGCTATTTGCAAACTGATGGCGGCCATATTGGGAACCCAGGTTTCAGTTTTAAATCCAGCTTTAGCTCAGACATCATTTCTCTCTTCCACACTCAATTTGTTCTTCAAATATTCTCTTAATAACTTTCTTCATTTACAGGTAGACATTTTATCATTATATTGTATATATTTAATATTTCATAGTATTTTTGATTTTGTTCTTTCAAAATAATATTTCGAACATTCCTGGAAAATATGAAAATGACGTCTTCATTATCAAAATCCTCGAAACAGGAATAAATGTCTTCAAAAGTAACTATCAGATTATAAAAAATTTAAAATACTATGTAAATTTTTTAGTTTTTTTTAAATTCATACTTTATTGATTTGCATTTACTTGCATTTTTCTGTCATACTTTAAGTTCAAGTAAAGCTGTTTATCGTTTTGGATGAATTGTTGAAAATAATATTTTGATTATAGGAGGCTCCTGGACAAGAACCGGAAGTAGGAGTAGGACAGGAAGTAGAAGGTGCTGGGGAAGGAGAAGGTTCCGGGGAAGGAGATGGTGAGGATGAACCGATGTCTGTGGAGACCGATGAACCTCTGGCTACAATCAATCCAACGGAGGAAAAAACTTACGAGGTATAAAAATTATGAAAAAAGTTTTGTAGTATTTTTTAAGGAATATGAATGTATTGTTCAACTGAAACCTCGGTTCTTGGAAATCTTGGACCAATTGTTGGAATTTAATTTAAGTTTTTTTTTCAATTGAAAGTTGGGACAATTAAGCATAGAATTTAGGAACGGTTTTGATTGATCATTTATTTTTTGATCTTAGGCTTTATTGGTAACCTGAATGATGGAATTATTGATTGATTGAGTGATGAAATTATTGAAATTTTTAGTGATTGATTAATTGGTTGTTTGATTGATTGATAGATTGTGTATCAGGAGAAGGATAAGCATGAAATCGCCGGTCAGCTTTTTGTTGAGATTATCCATGTGTCATGTGATGCCCTGCTGGGATTGATTGATTGGCTAATCGATTGGCTAATTGATTGGTTGTACATTGTACAATTGGTTGAACGTTTGATTGATTGATTGTGTATCAGGAGTTGATGAATGAGAAGGATAAGCATGACAACGCCGGTCAGCTTCTAGTTGAGATTATCCGTGTGTCACGTGATGCCCTGCTGGCACCAACAGATGATAATTTTCTTGATAACTCTCTTCTTCACACAGCAGAGTCTAAACAAACAGCTGAGGTGAAACTTCTAACTTATGCAACTTCTAACTTATGCAACTTCTAACTATGCAACTTCTAACTTATGAATTATTATTATATCTTATGATCTGTTTAAATTATTGTTTTTATTATTATAATTATGATTTTTAATTTTATCTGTATGATAAAGCTCTTCGCTTATATATTTATTTTATTTATTTATTCGTACACAATTATAATGGTACAATTTAAAATCAACGAGAAATAAGATATATAACATATAAAATAGAATTAATATATAGTCGAACACAATGAAATAAAATAAAAATAAAAACTTAGTTTGTTTTTACATATATCATCAATAATTACATCTATTTCATCATAGTTAAATCCTTCTAAAACATTTGGATTTGACCGGATTAATAGTAAATCTTTTAACAGTGGAATTCTCCACGCATTTTCAGCCGGATTCGCGTAAATCATGTTTGACTTAACTAGAGACTTGTTCAAGGACAGTTTATCTACATTGGTTTCATTTGCAATATTAGATAAATTCTTACATAATTTTGTTCTTTGGTCATTTTTGCATAAATCAAACAATAGTCGGATGCTGAGCTTGCGACTTTTACACATAGATTCGCAAAATGATTCAAATCGGCTACACAACATAGTTTTTAAATGAATTTGCTCAGAAATTTGTTCAATAAAATATTTATGAGTTTGTCGTGGCAAACCAAATAAAATACGAATAGCAGTATTCCAAGAAGTATACAGTTTTACAGTGTTAGCACAAAACAAATCCCATAAGTTGGAACCATATAGACTAGATGCATATATGTTATAAAGCTTAACAACCATTGTAGCTTCATAAAAATGAAATTCTTGATTCAAAGAGTGAATTATTGATATAAACTTCGCACGTTTCAAATTACAATCTCTGGTCATAGAATTATCGGATTGAAATAGATTTCCAAGATGTTTAAATTCATCTACATATGGTAATGGGACACCATTTAGAATAATCGGACATACATTATTACTATCAATATTAGATTTATTGAAAATAACTCATTTAGTCTTGGATTTGTTTATGTCCACGTTTGTACTAAACTTCAGTTTACGATTTAGTGCAATATTTATTAGTATGTATTTTAGCTATAGTTGGCCTAACGGTTGGACCGAATGGGCCAAAAAAGTTTTGAGGGAACTCTTTGAGTATCCCGGGGTAAAATAGGATAAAAAATTGGACTTTTTTTTAATCGAATTGTTTTTATAATTCCAACTTTTTCTCAAAATTAGATTTTTAAAAATTCCACGGGCAACACCGGGAACTTCAGCTAGTTATTCATATTAATATTAAGTTTTATTAATTCATTATTGTCATCAGTATGATAATGATTTTGATTATGATAATGATAATAATAATTATGATTATGACTTCTTGCCATTATATCTATTGATTTTAAATCATTATTATTATTATAATTATAATCTTTTAGGTTCTGTCCTGTATACGTAGTATATTAACTTGGAAGGCTCGGCCCCCTCCAACCCCTCTCGACACTACAGCTGTGAATCTTGATGAACCCCCTTTAGATGATGTCCTTCAAACACCAAAGGTTTCATTTAAAAGTTTGTTATACAAAAACTAACATTTTTTTATATTTTTAACATTTATTTCTTTTCTAAATTTTAAGATTTTAAATTAAAATTGAAATATTTAAATCTTTTTACCATCTGATTATCCGATTATAGATAAGATTAGTGAATAGTGATTTGGGTGAATACTTAATTTTGAATCGAATCTTTTTATCATCTGAGCTGAAAACTTTAGAATGTGATATCCTTAATCCCGATCTGTTGACTTATCTGGAGATTAAATTCATGAGGAAAACAAGCCATATTTAATCTGGATATTAAGAAAAAGAGTGGATTAAGCATTAATCCTGATATCCACCATTCTAAAGTTTTCAGCTCTGGAGGAGGAAGAGCAGAGTAAAAGAAAAAAAATTTCGCACAGTGCTCTCATAACCTAAATCTCAACAGTTGAAAAAAGAGGGATATTTAAAAATTTCCTTATCTCTGAATGGTTCACATTAAGTACTATTATAAAAATAAGCAAAAAAAACGAGAGAAAAGTTCTAAAAATCATTAAATCTTAAAGAAATATTCATGAATTGAAAACATTTTTTTTAAATCCTAAATTCTTACATATCTTTAAGTTACGTCTAGGATTATCGTTTTAGGAAAGTAATAGTGTTTTTGAGGTTAATAGGGGTGAAGGGGTTGATGAGCCAGTTGTGAGCCAAGAAAAGCCAGGAGCTGGCGTTCATAGCAGTGTTGAATGGGATGTATTGTTCAATCCGATCCTGTCCGCTTTTAGGACTAAGTCTTAGCGTCTATGTACTTCTTCATAGTTGTATTTTATATATCTATAGGTTACACTTGACACGACCAACCCTCCTGAACCCTGTGAAGCTAACACTGCTGATGCTGTTCTTGATCTTCCAGAGAACCCGCTTCTTCTTCAACTCTTTACTGATGCTAGGTATATTATGATTCACAGACCAAGCCAGGGGTGTATATTTTTCAGAATTACCTTCCCCCTTGAGGTAGGGGGAATAGTTTTTGTTGATGCGGGGGGAGGGTGAAAAAAGGACATCATTGGGCAACTTTTTTTCCATTCTTTTTTATACTTTTATCCGACAATTCATTGCTTTCACCTTAAAAACATTTATTTCCCAATTTCAGCGACTCAAACCCTAAAAAGTTGTTGCTCTCTACGCATGCATATAAAATATATATTTTCTATTTTTTCGAGAAAATATATACCCCTGGTCACCAAGTGGACAGACTTCTGAAGCGTTTAAAAGGATTGTATGTAGACTGTAGACGTAATTTCAAGGGAACCCTCAATTGAAAGAGTGGCATGTCCGATTTACAACGATACTTTCTTTTATCCTATACATAGCTTAGTATATTTTCTGGAATATAAAAAATCAAATTCAAATATCTCCTGTATGGGCCGTGTTACTCAAATCTAAATAACTCCTAATATCTCCTATATGGTCCATGTTACTCGCATATGCATATCTCCTGTATGAGCCATGTTACTCAAATCTGAAAATCTCCTTATATTTCCTATAACGGCCATGTTACTCAAATCTATATATCCTAGGTTACTAGAACTCCTAGTTAGAGCCTGGAATATGGAGTTTACTCCTAATATCTCCTATATGGGTCATGTTACTTAAATCTATATATCCTAGGTTACTAGAACTCCTAGTAAAAGCCTGGAATATGGAGTTTACTCCTAATATCTCCTTTATGGGTCATGTTACTCAAATCTATATATCCTAGGTTACTAGAACTCCTAGTTAGAGCCTGGAATATGGAGTTTACTCCTAATATCTCCTATATGGGCCATGTTACTCAAATCTGTAACAAAATTGAAGAAGTAAGAAAAGGATCGGAAGATCTTATGGAAAACACTTATAACAGGTATTTTGAAGTTTGTTTGGTTTATTTATTTTTCAGTATTTTCTAATAAACAAAAAAGAAAAGTATAAGTATAAAAAATCTATAAAATAAATTTGTTTTCTTTTTATTCTGAAATTTACTAAACTGTTTGGATTTGTTAAAATTGATAAATTATTTTGTAAGAAATTGATAACTTATTCCTAAGCATAGATATTTAATAATTTGAAAAAGAAAATATTGATAATTTCACTCTTTTCTGGGAACTACTGTATTATTATAATTATTATTATTATGATTTAAAATAACAATATTTTTTTACGATTAGAAAAGTAAACATGAAAAATTAGTGGTGAAGTGGTTACCTTCTTACAATGACGGTTTGAGGAAATTTGTATAAACATAATTTGTTTTGTTTTTCAGAGTTCTTCTAAACCAGCTTTTTGAAAAATTGTCCCCGGAGGTGAGGAATAACTTTAGATTAGACAGATTCCATAATTAATGGATTAATTATGGAATTGGTGGATTGATTCATGAATGAATTGGTTGATTGATCAATAAATTGGTTGATTGATAAATTAATGAATTGCTTGTTTGATAAATCGATGAATTGACAAATTAATATATTGATTGATTGGTTAATAATTTGGTTGATTGACAAATAAATGAATTGACTAACTAATGAATTGGTTGATTGATTGTTTGCTTGATTTATTGATTGATTGATCAGGAGAAAGGTGCCTGGGATGAGATATTATCAGGCAAGCTGGCGGAAACAAATAAACGGAATGAGATTCCGCCGACAAGGAACGTATTCAACTTTTTTCTTGATTTATTAATTTAGGGGTAATTTCAGATTTATTGGTAAAATAAAAAAATCCCCTCACCCTCATATAACTGTTTATCCCCCCCCCCCAAAAAAAACAAAAAAATTGTTTTTTACTTTCTCCCATTCGGCGAAAACAATTCAACTTTTTTTACGCAACGAGGAGAATATATTTTTTGAAGAGGTGGGGAAATGATTTCAAGAAAATATATATTTTTCTGATTTTTAGCTTGGAATGTTTTGGTTGTTTTGGGAATCAAAATCGTTTGTTCAAGATAAATAAAATTTGTTGACGCCACAGAGGGACGTCGTAACTTCAAGTGAAGGGTATCCGGTTTTACAGCGACACGCTTCAAACCATAATCTCATTTATAACATAACATTGTTTGTTTATGTTAGTTCTGATATTTTCTCAATTGTTTCTGAAGCAAGAAATTCGGGGAACCACTTTTGCAGAGACACGATTTAAATTAAACAGTTATCTAAAACAAACATAAAGGAGTTCATCCTAAGCTTTTACTGGTACCGTTGTAATTCGGACATGCCACTCTATCAAAGGATGGTTAATTTTACATAGACTCTCGTTTTCTGTCTCTCTAAACAAACATAAAGAAGTTTGAACTAAAAATCGATTTTTAGTTTGTTTTTCCAAATTATAATATGAATATCTTTTTTCATGGTTAAAATTTGATATTTTGTAAAGAAAGTAAATATTTAGAATAAACAGTTTTGAAATTAGTAACTGATCAGGATTTTATGGTACTTTTTCAAAGTCGAAAACCTTCAAAGTCATGAAAACACTAGCTAGGAGAACTGAACTTTTCTTTATTCCTTCCAGAAACTGCATGCACTCTTTTTATGTCAAAGAATATTTGGAGTTCTTGATGTATATTCCTTATCTAAAAGTTGATTTAAATTGAATTAATTTAATAGTCTGGCTTGGTTTGGTATGGTTAGTTATGGATTTGTATGTAATGGTTTGGTTTGGTTTGGGTCCTTGAATTAGTTGAAATTGTACAGAGAGGATCGACGCAACTTGAGCAGTGACGATGATTCAGATTTCAGGGATATTCATTTTCCTCAAGATACTGCACTACAACAGGTTAGTACTAAGCAGCTTTAATCTCGAGTCATTCAGTTTCGCCAAAAAAAAAATTGGGTATTTACATATCATTTATATTGCCTTATACATTAATGCACGGTCATATAGTGATATTTTTAAATGCTTTTACCTTTAAAATAGTGAACAGTATTGAATTGTCAACCTAATTTTACATAAAATATTTTTCAAAAACTTTAATTACAAATCCTGTCATTTTTAAAATGTGGTCTGTCTGTTCTTTGCTTTTTATCTATCGGATGAAATGAATGAATTCGTTCACAATTCATGAATTTTGGTTTTGTTAAATAAATTAACTATAAAAAAAAATTCTCAATATCTTTTTATTTTTGAAAGTACAAAAAGGGCAGAACACATTTAGGAATTAATAGGATTCGGGTCATTTTGCGATTGTATTTTTGTACGGGTGAAAATAGTCAAACAAACAAATGCCGCAAATTTGTCAATGATAAAGAAATTCCGTTTCTTTTTATTATTAATACAAGTAAAGTTGTTCTTACCCTGTTTTAATTGAATCGCTTATTGGTACTCAGGCTTAATTAATTATTAATATTTAATTTTAAGATAAAATATATTATACAAATATGATACAACCAAATGTACAAAATACTCCATATTAATGTTTTTGTCAAATTTGTTGAAAAGCAATAATGTTTTTGTCCAATATTTTAATTTTAACCAAAAAAAAAATATAGAATATTTCTTGATGTAAAATAAAAACAATTTTTGAAAAGTGGCCTTAAAAATATAATAATTGGTAAATTTCACAAAAGATTATTGGAGAATTTTTTGAAAACCAGGCTTTTAGGGCGCTTTGCGCCATAATTCTATTTTAATTGTGAACAAAATTTTCAAAAATCGAATTTTGTTAGATGCAAATTTTAGAAAATTCGATCATCCATAAACCTTCACTGGGGTCACGCAAGGTCCCACAACAAATTTGGTCCAAATTGGTCTAGCCGTTTGATGTTTATTGGATTCAATCAAACAGACAAACATCAAGACAAGCAAAGTATATATATATATGTAGCTAAAGCTGGCCAAACGGCTGGATAAAATTGGCTGACATTTTTTTTAAGAAACCTAAGGATAACCTGCGGTTAACAAAGGTAAAAAGAATTAGATTTTAAAAAAGTTATCTATTTTCAATTTCAATTTTTTTTTTAATTCCACGAGCAACGCCGGGCACTCTATCCAGTAAACAAAAGTCTTGATATTAACAAAACTTTACAGTGTTTTGTAGAACCTATTCATTGTAAATTTTGTATATTGGTAAAGCTTAAAAAATACATAAAACATACTAAACGATCTCATCTATATAGATACTTTGCTTACCTGTCAGTTTGTTTGGGTGTTTGTTAGATAGATAGATAGATAACGTTTATTGCTAAAATACATGTATCTGTGTACAGAACGAGATTACAATTACAAATTGAGGATTATATTAACAGTACAAGTATAAAGCAATTAGGTGGAAAATAGCTCTTGGCTGTTTTGATTATTTTTTCCACCTAATTTCAATAATGATAACAACACATTTCAATTAAATGGATTTAAGGAGAACTATTAGAGATCAGGGTGCGATTTTATCTAATTGTTTCGCGAGTGTTTTAGTACCTTACTTGGACCTCGCTAAGTATCCAAGTTAGTTTTAGCTATTCAAAGACCTTCTAATTCTCTCTCTCTCTTTATCCTAGTTTTTTTTTTTTCTACCTAGCCATCTTTCTCCCTTCCCCTTGAATCAACACTTGGGTCTTCTCTCTTTATTCTTGATCCCAATATAGAGTTGCTAAAAATACAGGGGGTTAATTTTATGAACACACATATTTTTAGGAATGTATAAAATCAAACATGAAGAACAAGATTTAGATTGGACTTTTTTCAATTCTTTGTGAAGAAAATAAATAAAACCTTTCAGTGCGGGTATCAGGTTACAGATACTTTAGTGGAAATAATCACTACATTTTGTATTCTGTAATTATTTGATTTGAAAATCAATCATGATTTGCTTTAGGGAAAGTTGACATTTTAATAATTCAATGGAAAAAGCTTTGATATAAATATTGCTTCCCAGCCACCACTTTAACATAATATTTTACAGTAAACATAAACAGTATTTTTATTTTGTGTATCTCCTGAGACTTTCTCTCTCCTCCTCTTTATACAGGAACATGAAAAATATAGATATAGTTAGAAAAGCATAATTTTATGCAGAACACTAATGCTAAATAGTTTATACATTGATTAGAATAACTAGTGTTCAAAGTAATTTTCTGACATGTACACAACAAATATCAAAGCATATTAAACATATCTAATTAGTTTTACATGAATAGCAATTCGGTTTATAAGACATTGTAATGTAATTTTCAAAAAGAGAATTTAGTAGTCTATTTTTAAATATACTTAGAGAGAGTTGCTTTTTAAGTCAAGAGGCAGGTTATTCCACATCTTAAGAAGAGAGCTTGATGATAAATACTGTAATGAGCACATTTTGAGAATGTCAAGTTGATAGTTAAGAGATCTTTCAAAGGTTCCAAGCTTTTTAAAAATATTTTCAAAAGATGCAGGAAGAAGTTTATGTGTATATTTATACATAAATATAGCTTGGTTAAAGTCTACCAGATCATTAATCTTTAAAATCTTATACTTAAGGAAAAGAGGATCACTATGAGACGTGGCTTTTGAGTTATCAATTAATCGTAATGCTCGTTTCTGTAAAATGTGAATTTGTTTCATTTCTGAACATTTGTTACATCCCCAGGCTGAAATTGCATATTCTATAAATGATCGAAATAAAGAGATAAAATGGTTAGTTTAATATTACTAGGAAGAATATTTTTTACACTTGACAAAGCAAAACTGCACTGGATGCTTTGTTTTTAACCGATTTAAGATGATGGTTCCAGTTAAGATTTTCGTCTAAATAAACACCTACAAACTTAAAAGATTCATTTTTGCATCCAGTTCCTACTCTTTCTATATTTTTATTATCTATTTGAAGTTTAAGAGAGGTGATACTTACATCTTTTTTTATTTTTGAAGAGAATATATTTGGTTTTAGACGCATTCAAAGTCAGTTTGTTTGCTTTAAACCAATCTTCTATTTTGGAGAGCTCAAAATTTGCCAAATAATATAAGTTGTGTAAGCTTTTTGAAGAAAGTTGCAGTGTTGTATCATTGGCAAAAAAAAAATGGTAAAAATTTCGATGGTTTAGGAAGGTCATTTTGTATCCAAAAAACGTCAAAACGGCTAAACTGATCTGGCCCGAATTTTGTGGGGGACCTGACGTGACCCCAATGAAGGTTTATAGATGACCGAATTTTCAAAACTTGATTTTTGAAAATTTTGAAAATCCACAAAACTTGTTTGATAAAAGTCCGAAACTTAACAAGTTTAAAAATGAACAAAGATTTTGCTCATATCTATATTTACACCGAGTTTAACCATTGTCGATTAATTCTTTCTCATACAAAAGTTCCATTCTATCCAGAGACTAAATGTAATAAACACTCATAGCGTTACTTTTTGAAACTAGTAAAAATGAAATAAAGGACAAGTCAACATGACAAAATATACCACGCGTCTTTTGTGTTAATTTTTTCTCTTAAGTTCAGAAAGTATTGCAGTCCTGGATAGAGAAAACGCGGGAACAAGAGAATTTAAATCTATAATTTGCCATTTCCCGCATTTTCTCTTCATTGATAATGAAGACGACATTGGATTTTATTCTCCTGTATTGGAGTTCTGCTCTAATTACAGATGTATTCTGATTACCAGATCCAGCAGATGAGTGAAAACTTTGTCGAAACTTTCGGATACAACGATGATGACTTCAATGATGCTGAAGATGGTGTGAGGTAGGTTCATTTTTATTTAACTCTTTATTTTTAAAAAGTGAATTTTATATTAGGCCAATGCGTAGGGTCCATTTTATTTTAATGCGGATCTTCCTGGATTCTTCCTGTAAAAGAAAATAAAACATTTTAAAAAATGTTTAAATATTCACCCCACAAAAAAAAACTTCGGATCTGTCGTTCCGCTTATTTTTGTGACTCCGGTGACATGCATGGAGCGGACTCCTACATGGGGCGGCCTTCCCCAAAAGTTATAACCGTTTGAACACAATTCTAGACATAAATAGCAATGTTAGACATAACAAGCAATGTTATGACATTTTCCGATATTTATAAATGTATTTTGATTGTAAAACACATAAAAAATTATCTATGTCTCGAGTAAATATTAATTTTTTCATGACTTGAAGGAAAACGACTTTCAAGAAGAAATAACTTTTGGCCTTTACACCCTGGAAAATACATTAAAGAACTAAATGCGTATTTAATATATGTCAACTAATTATTTTTAATGTTTTAACATTGCTTTTTGTGTCTTAATATTGTGTTGAAATGGTTAAAACTACACTGGAAACCTTTAACCTATAGAGCTCGAGTCTCAAAGTCGTCTTCCTATGCCATAGTTTTATAAGTCTAACTCTTAATTCAATCAAATTCCTATATTTCCAAGATCATTTAGTTTTTCCCTTCAAATTCTTGAAGACTTAAAAAAACTCCATGAATTGATATTTGATATTTTCATAGAATAAGTTTGTCTAATTGGTGTTCCACAAAACATGAGCATTTCTCGTTCAGGAGAAAACGTCATGTAATGTTCTTGAAATATGTTGCTAGGTTCATTGTCTAAACTTATGTTGAAAGTATTTTAAAAAAATAGTCGTATAGCATTGCCAAATACTTTTTTGCTCTCAAACGTAGAGGAAATAAAATGAAATTTGTTAAGATTTAGAGTTAAAGCTATTTAATGATTTTAATCCTTTATAAGGTCCGGTCCAAGTTGACAAAGTTACGGAAACCTTGCATATTTTTTTGTCACTTTTTTCATGCCAGCTAACTAGGCCCTAATAGGTTGATTCAGAATTATCTAGCCTCTTGGTTTTTTCCATTTGTCAATGGGTTTAAGAAAGTTCTGTACGTACGTGAGACTCAATAAAAGAGATTCTTTTAGAAAATGCTTTTTTAAAGTTACGAATTTTTAATGAGTCAGATGTGAGCCATGATAAGCTAGGAGCTGCCAACCTTAGCAGTATAGATCGGGATGTACTATTTGAACTAATCCTGTTTTATTTTTAGGACGAAGTCTTGGTAACTCATGACAGTTTTATAGTTTTTATTCTTGTATTTTCCTATTTTCTAGAGGATTGGGTAAAATGAGCCCAGCGGTAAACTTTCTGATGAATACTGATGATAATACTAAGAAAGCAATTTTCGAATCCATTTGTGAGGGCAGACCTACTCGGGGGTAAGTTGAAATGGAGTATTTGCTTTTACTAAATTAATTGAATAATGTAAGACAACTGATAAGATCTGATAAATGGTGATCTCATCTTTTTTGAATTTATAAATCACTAAGCGACTAAGCTCAAGACCGTAAAATTTTAAGAACAGTGAAAAAAATGAATTTGGAGTGTTTGAGGTACCCATGGGTTTCCTAACAAAAATTCATCCAATTTTGTTCAACTGTTTGGCCAGGTATAGCTAACATATATATATGTGAGCGAAGGGCATTATATTGACTAAAAGAAGAGACACCTATTGACAGTATTTTGAAACTAGGGAAGTGGATTCTGACGAGGAAGATGATGAAGATATTTGGGCAGAGAGAACAGCGGAGCTTTCCTTTGGAGGTCGAAACAATGCAGATATATCCAAGGTGAATTCTAGGTTCAGGGTTTAGCTTTTGAGGGTGGGGAACATTTGGGGAACATCCACATGGGAAAATTTAGGGTAAACTTCTAGTTAAATTTTTTCTGCGTCACCACTTGTCAAGTTGTCAGTCGAAAATACGTTAATTTAATTTTTGTATTTCTTTTGAGGCAAATTTAAAAGGTGGGCCATGTCAGGATTTGACATGAAACGGTCCAATTATTCCATTATTCCATTATCGTTCAAATAAACTTTTTGTGTGGGTTTACTTAGTCTATATATAAAAAGGGATTGTACAATCATTAAAAAAAAAATAAAGTAAAACTTGTTTTTATCAGGATGAAGGCAAGGATGAGAATAATAGTAGTGAGGAGGAGGAGAATGTGCAAATGGAAGTTGATGTAGATCGTAAGTATTATTATTATTATTAACAATCAACCTACAGTTAAAGTATCATGTCTATTGTCTATGTCTAAATTGCTGAGTTTTTACGTCACTGACTCTGGATATGTAGAATGTAGATCTGGAGAGACTTTAGAATTGTGGATATTGATATTAATCTCAAGATTAATCTTAAGTTCTTATCCAGAAAAGTGTATAAAATTCAATCAATAGAGTGGCGCATGTAGATTACAGAATCCAGAACAGCCAATCAGAAGCCGGGAAATTGGATATTTTGCGCCCATTTAATGAGAGATTTCTCATTGTTCGGAATCTGGTAGGGTTATAAAAAAAAAGAGCTGATTAAGCATAAAATTAGAAGTGTCCACTTGGATAATCAGATTAACTGTTCAATTTTTAAATACAGTACATAGAACATACCGTTTACCTCTAATGGCACCTAATGGGTATGAAAACATTACGATTTTATTTTGATCACTCTGTGTCTGAAAACCATGGAGTGCATAGGATCCATTTTATTTTAATGCGGACCCGGATCCTGGATCCTCCTTGAAAAAAATGGATCATGAACATTTCTTTAAGACTTACTGTTTTTTTTAACAATTTGAAGAATTTTTTAAATTTTAATAAACAATTTTTCGACAGATTTGGGGTTTTGAGAGGAAAAAGTTTCTTATGACATTTAAGATTTTGCCCCTTAGCTTGGATACGAACTGTGGATCCGAATCCAGGAAGCCAAAATCTTCCGGATCAAACAGATCCGGATCCTAAGCACTAATTGCATATATATTTTTACAGTCCTTTTAAAATGTCTGTATATTTTAACAAATAGAAATATTTTCTTTTATATTTAATTACAAATTACAATATTTTATTTGATACATGCTTTTAATGCAAATAATCAATTTTTCAAATTTTCTCTTTTCTGGTATGATGATTATGATGATTATGATGATTATGATGATTATGATGATTTTCATGATTTTGATGATTTCGATGATTTCATGATTTTCATGATTTTCATGATTTTCATGATTTTGATGATTATGATGATAATACAATGATAGTGATGCAAATGTTGATAATGATGATAATGATGATAATGATGATAATGATGATAATGAAAATGATAGTGATGCAAATGTTGATAATGTTGATAATGATGATAATGATGATAATGACAATGATAGTGATGCAAATGTTGATAATGATGATAATGACAATGATAGTGATGCAAATGTTGATAATGATGATAATGATGATAATAATGATAATGACAATGATAGTGATGCAAATGTGGATAATGATGATAATGATAATGATGATGAGGATGATAATAATGATAATGATTATATTGATGATAATGATGATTATGATGATGATGATGATGATGATGATGATAATGACAATGACAATGATGATAATGATGATAATGACCATGACCATGACCATGATCTTCTAGATGACTGGAGTCCAGTGATGTCTAGCTCCCCGGAGGCCACCATGTTGGATAACTCTGAGCTGGTCTTGAGTCCTGAGAAGGGTTCAAGACCTCTACAGAACCTGAGCGAGGCCAGTATAGAGGAACAGGACTTATCCTCAGAGCGGAGGCCAGAGTAAGTCTAAGAATTATTTCATTATTTCATCCAAGGGAATAATGGTTTAAGCAAGAAACCTAAATTTGTTTATATTTCTGACTTGTGAATTCTAGGATCTAGGATCCTTAACATTAGTCTTCAATCCTGAATTTTTGTTCCCTAAAACTTGATCAGTTTAAAAATTCTGATCTGTTAAAGGAACTTAAAACGTAATTTTAACTTAAAAATTAAAAAAACAGTAGGGCATGCCACATTCACAACGGTACTCTTTTCTGGTGAATATTTGCACAGGTGAATCCGTTCCAGTCTTGTCTCTTTTTCATCATTTCAGCAACTTCAAACAACCATACTAGAGTGGTCTTTTGCGTTTACATTTTGGATAGCAAAATTCAAATACCTCGATTAATTTTTGAGAATTTTTTTCTGCTGTTACAATTTGGATTAAAATTTTATTTTTAAGGCACTGGCTCATCTTAATGAACTTTCCATTCTAAGCATGAGACACAAGTAACCTAGGATGATCATTTTAGGAAATATTTTTTGAGGGGTTCTTTGCTTGAGCCAGTTGCTAGCCATGATGAGCCGGGAGCTGCCGAACATAGCAATGACGATTGGGATGTATGTTTCGAGCAAACTCTTGTCTTTTTTTCAGGATTGAATCCTGGATACTTTTACTTTTCAGTAATAGTTAAACTCTAACAATTTCCTCTTGTTTCTCTAAAAGAAATTCGCTATTATCTATAATCGAAAAAGCAAAATTGAAAATGATTAACTTTCAAAATTAATAACGTTGATACAGGGTGGCCAAAATGTACGGATTGTACGGATTGATTTTTTTTAACCCTAAAATTGTACGGATTGTACGGATTGTACGGATTTGTTTTCAAATGTACGGATTGTACGGATTTTATCCTGGAAAATACACCGTTTTTTTAAATTTTCACTCATTTCAGCAAATTTTTCATGAAAATAAAAAAAAAATTCTCGTCAAAATGAAGTTAGTTTAACTTATTTTCTGCATTCTAAATAATATTAGATTGATTAATGTTTCAATTGACAATCAAAATTCATTCATAATTTTCGAGATATGTCCAAGAAGTGTTTATTTGAGAATATGTTCCATAAGTACTTATTTGATTGCTTATTCAAGAAGATGTTCCAGTATCCTGTACCCAGTATCCTNAAATTTTTAAAAAAAAAATTGTACGGATTGTACGGATTGTTTTTCGAAAATTGTACGGATTGTACGGATTTCTTCTGAAAATGTACGGATTTTTGTACGGATGGGTTCAAAAAAGTTTTGGCCACCCTGTAATGATATCAAGTTTATTCTAGATCATACTTTATCTTTATTTTCACGTTGTGAAATGGAAATGCCATTCCATAAATGGATTTTCACATAAAATTACGTCTACAGTCTGTTTTGAATAGCTTGTATTCTAGGAGTCCTGATTTATCTAACTGTGACGCAAACCAAGCCCCTGTGCCCAGTGATGTTGGAGAGAAACCTAACCCTGATTCTGTTCCACAGTTCCAGATGTCAGATATAGGTAATTCCATGTGATCAAGTTAAATCGAAAATGAACAATATGAAGCAATCACGACAATTTTTTCCCGTTTATTTTGCATTAAAACATCCAGCACATTCTACTTGGCAAGATATTTGTTGTTGTTTTTTATTCAGGAACTTTTCCAATAAAAAATGATGAACTGAGACAATCATTTCATAAGTTAAGTTAAGTTATTAGAACCCCAGTTTAAAGTAACTGTTTCGTAATGACATGTGAATCACATGTCTGATTCACAACTTCAACAAATATCATCGAAAGAAAAATGGTAATTTTTCAATTATGGTTTCTTTTAAATTTGACTTGTGCATTCATACAGCTGATATTAGCCCGGCAAAGATTTAAAGGGTACCGTTGTGAATCGAGCATTTAATTCCTTTTAATATTGTTTTCTTTTAATCAAAATCCAACAGTCCCTGTAATATTTATCCTGTCTAGAATCTGAGGTGATTCAACAAACACCTCCTCAACCAGAGCAACAACCTGCACATGTTGCTGCTACAGTAGATACTTCTGCTACTGTAGATGCTGCTCCCCAACCGGAAGCTGCCCCTGCTGCTCCCCAACCTGAAACTACTCCTGCTGCTCCCCAGCCTGAGAAAGCAGCAGAGACTGAACCTGATTTAAGTACAGCTGATGACAATGTGTAAGTTGTAAACATGAATAGATATAAAATACAGTGGGAACCAGAAAACAATGGAATTCTTGTCCTCGTTTTATTTAAGTGACGCAAAGGACTTAATAATTTGCAACTGAACTATTTTAAGAAATTGACTTAAATATTTTTAAAGATTTTTACAGTCGGAATCTCAATTTTTCAGTCCAAGTTCCTTACGTGATCCAATCTGAGAAAAATTAACAAAAAAAACGAAATTCAGAAAAAAATTGTATGTCAAGCTCGCCCTTTAGATAAATTATGATAATTCCAGTCAACTCCAAGAACTTCCTCTTTTTGATAAGATAAGATGAAACTTATAGTTTATTTATTTTCAAGTATGAATTATTTGTTGCGTTGCATTTTGAAAGTGAATCAATAATAATATTATTATAATTAACAGTCAACAATCATTTCGTTATTTTTAAAATATTTTATTTAAGGTCTGGTGAACCCTAATACAAGAAGCAAGATCTATAATCTCCTGTACAGAGGGATTCAACAAACATGAAATCCGTGAATATTATAAAATAGACATTCAGCGTTATTAAAACTACAAGGCCAAGAAGTTCGCTAATGCAATCCGTTTTACGTTGTGAATTTTTTGATTATACCATTTCTAAGTGATTTCAATGTCCTTTTCGATTCGCACTGTTTTTATTTAAATCTGAAAACTGGTGGTGAATCTGAATAAGCTGTAGATCATTTTATAATATTCAGGCATTTGTATTGCTTTAAGAATCTTTCTACGACTTGACTTAAACTGTGTTGAGTAACGTCTATTGAAAATTCAATTTTACAGATTACAGATTAGAGATAAAAAACTTGAGTGACGTCTATTGAAAATTCAATTTTACAGATTGCAGATTACAGATAAAAAACTTGAGTGACGTCTATTGAAAATTCAATTTTACAGATTACAGATTACAGATAAAAAACTTGAGTGACGTCTATTGAAAATTCAATTTTACAGATTACAGATTACAGATAAAAAACTTGAGTGACGTCTATTGAAAATTCAATTTTACAGATTACAGATTACAGATAAAAAACTTGAGTGACGTCTATTGAAAATTCAATTTTACAGATTACAGATTACAGATAAAAAACTAGAAGTCGTCGTTGTTAGAAGTCAAGTGAGATTTAAATCTACTGCGTGGTATATATATATTAGCTATTCATAGTATACAAGGTGTCCCAACTTTTTTTCTATGGTGTTTCCTTTCCTTTCAAATTATGAAAAGGGCTGTAAACCAATCCTTTTTGGGACACCTTGTTCAGTGTATTGTGTATACTGTACACTATACAGTACACTGTACTCTGTACAGTGTACAACTACTGATGTGAAGCAAATTCTGAAACGTACCTGCAGTTACCGACATAAAACAATGGTCGCCTCGGCTTTTTATCTTTGTTATCTATGGTCGTTTATAAATAACTGTGATGCTTGAAAATGTGTATCATGTAGGGGGGGGGGATATAACGGAAAGAAGGGTTGGAACGGGTCGTATTATTTTTTTCATGTATTTCTGTAATATTTTTAAATTTGACTAGCGCTAAGCTTATCATCCAGTTATTGGTTTAATTCGATATTTATCTTTTAGCTTTTCTTTTCATCTTAAAGGACTGTTTAGATAATTTCAAAAACCACTCAATTTACAGAGTTGATGTCAAATTCACAACATTATATTTATCTAAGTATTAGCATGTAGTGTGGATTATATCGTTGTTTTTTTCTTCTGAAAAGTTTCTTTGTTTCTGCTGCTTACATCCGCAATAGGAAAAAATTTGCTTTTAGATAGAAAAAAATGATTTCTCATCCTTTTTGTAATGAGCAAAGTTGTGTAACTGCTGTTTATCAACCTGTAATTTCTAAAAACGAGGATCACTCGAAATTACGTTATCAGTCCTTTTACCCCATTTGATCTCGTAGCACCAGTGCAGTTTTTAAGCAAAGAAGTTTTCTAAAATATTTATTTCTTAAGTTTTCGTGAAACTTATTCGACCTTATTCAGTCGATTCTAAAAAATAGTTTAAATAAATAGGTTACAAAATTTTTGGAGCTTACGTTTTTTTGTAACAGAACTTAAACCTTTAACTGCTTAGCTTTAGAAATTATCAAACATAGATAAATAAATGATTATTATTCTTTGGAAATTATCAAATTGAGGGAAATAAAAATTACTTTGGTACTGGAAATTAGTAATTGAAGCTCGTAAGGATCATTGGAAGGATGCCTCAAGCAATCCTTGCAAAGAATGATCTGATTTGAGTGTTAGAATTGATGATTTTGCAGAAAATTTTGAAATTATTGTCAAATAAATATTATTATTATGCAACACTTGCTACTTCTATCAATTATACGCGTTTAAAATAAGTGCATTTTAAGTTTGAATTTTATGCACTATTTTATATCTTTTAAACACCGACAAGTCGGATTGGCCTTGACCTCTAACCTAACCTCAAAAAATAAGTTTTGCGAAATTTGTTCGAAATTATGAAGCGCTCACAAACACCGCCGTCACTTCAGCTAGCGCCATGGACCTTCAAAAAGCAGTTGTGTCATTAGAGAATTTGGAGTGTCCATTGCTATGAAGACGAAAATTACCGTACAATTGAGCGCATTTAGAGTATCTGAACCTTCAGTGTAAGACAGTTTTATGTGATGGGGAAAAATTTTTTTACCCCCCCCCCAATTCTAGGGGGGGTATTTACCCCCAGGATTCTAGGGGGGAATAAATAACCCCCAAAACCCCCCTTATCTACGCCACTGCAATTTCTCCATTTATTCTAGCTGTAGAAATACGCACGTAACATGTACTAAAGGTATTTTTTTCATTTAAAAATGAGTACAGTCCCACTTACTTGTTTCCTCTAAACCATTAAATGATAAATTATGTTGGAGATATCATCGTTCTTTTAGCCTGCAAAGAGTTAAATTTTGAGATATCCTCCCATTGTTTCTGCAGGGAAAATGCGCAAATCACTTTTGTAGAGAATCCACAATTGAAAATAAAGGATTTTTAAAGAGATCAAACATACATACCCGTCCATTCTTGATCCGACAAAGGATATCGTTGTGTATTGAACATGCCATTTTTAATAAATTCTGGGTCCCTTAAAATTACTTCTACAGATCCTTTAATGGGTGGGGAAAAAACAAAAATTCGGATTTTATGTGTTCTTGTTTTGACGTTTCGATTTTCGCGGTACCTGTTTTTAAAAATATATTTTAACTTTCTTTCAAGGGCGTATGCAGGGGGCCCCTAGAACTCAGAGCTTTCACACTTTTCAAATATTTAACTCAAGAATGAAGAACTTAAAAAAATTAGTTTGGTGTTCATTCAGTGCACTAAGAAGATTGTATATGTGTACAGAGCCACCATGACAGAAGTCCGAATGAAAACCTATTTAGAATACACACTCCTTCTAATCATCGATGGGCGCTGTCAAGGATAGCAAAATAAAACAATTATTTTTAAATGCTAAGTCACGATTGCTTGTGTTTGGAGGTAGTAAAAGACCATTTTTTGTTAACTTAATTTGGATTTAATTTGCTTTATTCATTGCACCGCCGTTTTGTAATCTTTCTTTTTATTACAAACTAGCTGAAGTGCCAGGCGTTTTAAAAAACGAAATAAAACAAAAAACTTAAAATTTATTTAGGTTCTGTCACCTATAAGTTTCCTCACTAAAATTCAGCCCATTTGATTCACCCGATGCCAGCCATAGCAAACATAGATGAACGAAGAGCTTCATTATATAGAGTACTCCTTCTTTTTTTTCAAAACAGATGTATTTCTTTCTCAACATTTTGTAAACTTTTGAAAACTTATTCAAAGGATGAGACTGTAAAGACGACTGAAAACTCTTCAAATATCACAATCCAAATGTAAAATTATTTTAACGAGTTTAAAATGATTTGGCAAAAAAAGGAGGAAGTTTGAAGCTGTTGGGAATCGTAAAAACAAAAATAAAAAACAGTATAAATTTCGCACAATCGTTTCTGAAGTCGCATCCTTTGTGAGTAACACTGTATATTCACCATAGAGAATAGAATATATAGAGAGGAATTTACTAGAAAAAAATGTAAAACGGCCATTTTGTTGTACTGTTTCCATACTAACTGAACAAATTCATACCGAGAGATTCTTTTAATTCCTCTCTATATATTCTATTCTCTATGATATTCACTTATTTTACTTTCGAAACGCCTCGAATTTTGTTGTAGCTCGTTAAATAAAAGTTCAACTGAATTGATAAGGTTCTACGAAATCAGAATGTCAAAGAAAAACATCGTGTTATAGTTAATTCTCTTAAATCAATAAAAAACAGTTGGTTCAAAAATATTCAAACCTAAGGAATATAAGTTGAACTGACAGACTTACGGAGAATTGGAACAAAAATGAAAATAATGCAAAACTAGAGTAAAGTGCAACCCAGAAATAAGTTCTAAATATTTTTGTTCAAAATAAAAATTCTGTTTGGTTTGGCAACTTTTTTTGCAGAATCTCTCCTACTTCCTGAAAAGTTTCACATCGGTATGTTTGAGGATATCTTCTCGATATAAAGCAATAATTATCAACAATTATTTTGACTTAAATGAATTTAGAAAAAACATGTCGGTTAAAGAAAGTTTTCTATAAATATATGAAATCACCCAGAACAAAATGTTTTAAGATTCAACTTTTTCAGGGTAATGGGACGTTTTCAAAAAAGTGCAAAAAAAAATATTTCCGACACCCCTAGGATTAGTACGTCAACATAATTCACCAAAACCAAATTGCAGTTCTTCAATTATCATACAGGGAAATTTTCATCTTTCTAAACATCCCAGGGAAAGATTTCACAGGTTCTTTGAGAATTAATTATCAACGACAATTTTAATCCTAATAACTTTAATTGCTTCTTTTTTAAATAGTTTCAAATACAAATCTTCTTTACAATATGCAACCACAAAAAGATGAATAAATCAAAATCAATAAAGAAAAGACTGTAATACCTAATAAAACTCACAAGACTAATTTTAACTAGAGGTATTTTAAGTTCTTAGAATAACCGAGCAGTTATTTATATGCTAATTCAAAACAGGGGAGAAAAAAAATTTAGCTATTTTTCATTTTAAAATTAAGATTTTTTAAATGTGATTTTTTTTCTTTAGTTTATATTTATCCCTGAAAAGTGTGTTACAGAGGCCGTTCCTTCTATAAACTACATCGGTCGACAACTTGACGTCTCCTATATTGGTCGTCAAGTGTACGGAGAAATTATCTGTTTATTGGATAAGAATTTAGCAAGAGACATCTAGCGTCCAACATATCGTCTCCCAAAGTACATGAACTACACGACCACTATCTTTAGAAGGAACGGCCTCAGTTGATGGTTTGTTGACATTTTGTTTGTTTTGGGATGAGATAAAAATATATTGATTTTTTAATGATTAATAATTTCTTTTTTTGGTGGTTAAATTTTTCAAGGAATATAGTTTAAAAAATTACTATTTTTCATTAAAATGATTTGCCGTACAGAATCAGTGATTTAATTCCTAATATTCTCACGGTATGGTGAATGGTGATAGAATTTAGGACCCTTTTCCCAAATACTTGTATTTATTACTAGCTAAAGGGCCCGGCGTTGCCCGTGGCAAATTTTTTTTTAAATTTCGATTGCTTTTTAGCCTATAACACCCCCCCCCACCACCCATGAGTGTCCACAAAAAATTTCAGCCCAATAGGTCCATTCGTTTGGCCGGCTATACGCAACATTCGAATGTCTTGTTTTATTATATGGATTTAAGTTTTTAATTAATGTAAAACGTTAGACACTTCAATTAAACTAATCCATTATTTTAAAGATATATAATACATTTTTTTCTTATGGTAAAACCACTTCGCTTCGTTTTTATAATTAGAATTAGACCCATTGAAAACCCGTTGTTGATTGTCTTTTCCTTGATAGTCAAGAAAGGAATCTAATGTAATTACTATCAATTATGAATGCCTTATTATCAAACCACATTTTTTAAAACTAGAAATGATTAAAATATGTTTTGTTTTTATTTTGCCCTGTTTAGAATAGTATATAAATAGTTGCGTTGTTATATAACATTTATCTTCAGCTTCCATCTTCAGGATTAGCTGAGATCTTGGTTTGAGTATAGAGATAATTGGGCGTTATATCAGGTTAATATTTATTCATTTCGTGTAGATTCGACCTTGTATATCATTAATTTCTGTGATAGATCGTAGTGAGAGAGTTGCAGTTTGTAATAAGCTATTTAAGTGTTGGTATATGATATTCATCAGGTTTACTTTGATATCGTTACTAGTTCCTATGCTGTTTAATTAGTAGTTTTGTTTATAAATATTGATTATGATGAATTATTCTCCCCCCCTCCCCTGGCATTATCACTTGGCAAAGAGCATTACTACTGTCTTGTGTCTAGCAAGGATCACATTTAAATTACCTGAGCTTATGTATTGTATACCCTCCATACCGTTTATGTCATACTTGTATCTACTAGTTATGATTTTCTGCTTATTCCTCTGTTGGATATTCCTGCTGGGCTCTGACCAATGAGAGTCCTCTATTCAACTTTGAGCTTAATTTCCTGGCCTTTGATTGTCTCTGTTCCATTTAATCTATGATCTTGATGCCAAATTTATTCATATAATTTGAACTGATCTCGCTTTTAATTTCAGGATGTTCATGTTACTGTTCTTTGTACTGAGTGGGGTGAGTTCTCTTCCTCCCTACAATTCTCCTGTTGAGACAGGTACAAGCTAATTAGAAAACAAACTTAACCAAACCTGAGACTTCCTACTCCTACCCCCTACTCCTACCCTTCACTTAACTAGAAAATGGCAACTGAAGTTCCTTACGTTTCGACTTGAAAGAGTTTGTTAGCTTAGATAAAATTGTCCTTAATAGAAATTAACTCTCACTAGCGTCTTAAACTTATTCATTTTTTGCATGTTAAAGGTTCTAAAGCTTCTGAACCTGCCAAGAAAGATTTGCCGAATCCTGTGTATCAAGCTGTACAGAACCCTAATTACCAAGCTGCTGTACCACAGAAGCCTGCTGTACAGAACCCTAATTACCAAGCTGGTGTACCACAGAAGCCTGCTGTACAGAAGTATGAGAGTTATGCTGATGCTGGTTATGATGGTAGCTGGGACGCTAACAATGGAAACTACAAGTCTGATGATAGTGGTCCTGTTACACCTTTGGGAACTACCACTGGAAATACTAAGTAAGCCTTTATATGTTGGTTTTAGTTTCGGTACAGCAATATTTAAATTTTCTGCAAAAGCTAATTTTTTGTGGTTTTACAGCAGTGTTTCGACAGACATGCTAACTGATAAAAATAAAGAATCCTGCATTTTTTATTATAATCTTACGTAAATCCTTTTTAGATATGAACCAATGGATGCTCAATACTATACTCCGGACGAAATATTTAAATCTGGAGATAAAAAGGATTGCCATCCTGTAGAAAAAATTGTCTATGTCAACGAATGTGTTCCCTTTGTTGAAAAGACTTGTTATACTCAACAGAAGGAAGTTTGCAAAGATATCTTTGAGAAGAATTGCACAGCTGTTGTTGATCAGTTTGAAGATCGGCAATGTATTGATGTTACTGAACTTCTCTGCTCCTTGGCCGAAGTTGTGGAATATGAGATCGTCGACGAATCTTATTCCGTCCAAAGATGTACAACCGTCTCGGACAGAGTTTGTGACACTGTTTATGATTTAGCAGTAAGTATTTTAAATTATAATTGTTGAGCTCACATTTTAAAGCTTTTCTCTAGATTGCAACCAAGGATGAATATGCATGTGTGGATGTTGATTTCACTTACTGTTGGGATGAAGACAAGGTAATAGGTCTTTTTATTAATTGGGTTTATTTGTCTATTTCAAATTTTCTAAACGTAACCTTATTTTATTGTAGGTTGTAAAAGATCGGACCTGTATTTTCTCTGTAGATCATGATTGTGGAAAGTTCAAGCCCAAGGATGGGAAAGGAAGTGTTACTTGTGAGAAAGTGCCAACCAAGAAGTGCTATGATACTCCAAGAAAGGTAATTATGGCGTCTATATAAACGTGTCGGAAAGTCACTCTGGTTGACCTAAATATAAAGTATGTTTCCAGGCAAAGTGTTCTTCTAATGAAAGCACTTATTGGATTTAAACATTTTCCAGTTATGGTTTAGCTGAGACTTCCCCGCCTAGCTAGCCTGGGAAATCTCGGCTAAATCACCGTTAGAAAATTTTAACGAATCTGAGAATTGTCAAATAAAAGCCTTTTCTTTTAGGTTAGAGAACAGATCTGTCACCCTAGATCCAACAAGTTCTGTGAGAAGTTTACCAATGAATTCCCCTACCCAGTAGAAAAACAAAACTGCCATTCAGAGCCAATGAAAAAATGCGAAATAGGTAAATTTCAATGGACTGTTGTCAAGCTTGTTTTCTTTTAATTCTAAAAATATTTGTTTAAGGTATTTACAAATTAATCTATGTTGAATGTTCTTGCGTCTGAAAATAACCACTCTTGTATTTTTCAATTTTATTAAATATGAGTGTGTATTTAATTCTTTTTTTCTAGAGACTCTGAGCCGTCCCAAGAAGGCCAAGAAGTATAACTACGTGAAAGAATGTAAACCTATTGCCCGCCAGGTTTGTGACAAAGTTGAGAGGAAAAAACTTCGACCTGTGTGTGACAAGGTGCAGAAGAACGTGTGCAGTTACGCCCCTGTTGAGCAGTGCAAGGAGGAGAACAAGCAGTACTGCTACAAGGCAGAGAAGGTCGTCATTGAAAAAGTTTGCACGGCAGAACGAGTTCAAACCATTGACGAAAGTTTTAATTATGTCTAATTTTAAATATGTATAGACTTAAAAATATATAATTTTACTATTTTGTTGCCTGAATTTAATACTGGTAGCCGTTAAATTTGTTGTTTCTCTACTTATCAATGTCCAATTTTATAGGTTGTCGAAAATATATTAGTCTTTGCCACAAACTCTAATAATTTAATCTATGCATCTTGATAAACTTTAGATCGTTTTTAAACAAATCCCAACCCTACTCTCTAGCACTAGAATTATATCATTTTCTTCTCAATATATCTCAGGAGTTTGTCCTTACTCTTTTGACGAGTATTGAATGACTTGATAACTATTGAAATCTCTTATTTAAATTAAAGAAATATTTGTTCAAACGCAATTTTACTTTGACCATTTCAAAATTGTTTGATAAATTGATAGTTTTTCACCCTACCAGATCTTTTAAAACTACTGTTGCCAATTATGCTTTTAAATTCTACTTTCAATAATACTTGTGCGCAATTGCGAGTATTGTAAACTAGGCACAATGGAATTCTGATTAAAAATCATGAGAATTCTGATTAAAAATCATGAGAGCACGTAGGTTACACATGATTATTCATAAAGGACTAACTATCCTGGTTGAATCTACGAAATCAATTTCCCTATATTTTAATTCCCTGCACAACTTAAACTTTCTTTCTTCGAAAATTATTTAATAAGCAATTCAGAAAACTATCTCAAGGAAGACTTCATTCAACCTTGTGATCTTCAGAAGTGATGGAATCTTGCAGGGCCCTGTTCACCAAATAGACCGCCAGGCTAAAAGTTGTGTCACAAGATAAAAATTTATTTTTATTTATTCCTAATGGTTATATAAGTCATTTTAGATGATTTTTAAAATCTAAAATCCCGCGTGACAAGGAAAAAAAACATTTTTAAATTTCGCGGATTTTCTCTGAAAAGTTGGTCAAATTATGATAACATAAAATATCAAAATATGTTAAAATTGTATATTTAAATATTAAATAGTGGCTGTTTAGGTTACAAATTATCCAGTTAATTGATTCTTCTTCCAAACTGTTTTACAGCTGACCGCAGTTTATTTCCATGTTCTGTATGTCCTTTAAAGTTTTTTAATTTAAAAATGTGAACAAAGGAGTTGAATCCCTATATTTTTGTAACCTGATATAAATCATACTATTTTAAGCCTTTGATATATTTTAAAATTATTTGATAAACCATTGGGTTGCAAAGAAATAGAGATGGGAAAAAAACACATTGACCCTCTAAATCTCGTAAACATGGGTTTAGTTAAAAGGATTTTAATAATGATATACCTTCTGAACTTGGTAAAATCCTGAAATTGTGTTTTCCAAATATATTTGATTCTATTGCAGTGGCCGTACTCATTCCTTTTCGTAGAACAGCCATCATCTGTTTTGTTCTTTTGAGAGAAAGCTCCAAGACTCTCTGTAACTGCTGGATGATTTGTTCAGAGATCTGATTCACAGTTCTTCTAGCTGTCTTATTATCTGGAGTTCCGACTTTAACATGAAGAGGATTTCCCCCAGAGGAAATATAGAACTCTGATCCATCTGCTAATCCTTCAGTTTCCATCTTATTACGGAGAATTCCAACCTGCAACTTTCTCTGCTTGAAGAGATCCAAGAGCTAGAGCTAGAAACAGAAGATTACATCCTGGCACTTCTTTTCCACACTTATGCTGTATTCCAGCTCCTTTCCTAGTGAAACATGAAGGACAGAGAGGATTGAGAGATTCAGAAGGAATTTCATCTGAGAGTCTTTGCCACAAACTCAAATTTTTCAATCCCTATCTTTTCTACCTATTTTAAACTATTTTATCTGACCCCAATTTTTTAATATTGATAATGCCTTCTCTATGTGACCGTTAAAAACTAAAAAATGTGTAGGAACATTTAGACTTTTTTAATGACAATTTTTTATGGTCTTGATGCACAAATCGATGGATTTAATTTTAAGCTCAAGAAAATAAACATTTATTACAGTAACTTCTATATATACAGGGTGAGTCAAAAAACAGTGATTTACGGCACCTGGTGCAAAAGTGTACCTTTTTTCGTGCAACTCTCCTGTATGGAGATTTTTCCATATTTTTTGAAATTTTTCTTATCGTTTTTTGGTATGTTCAATTGCCCAAAAAATTCCGCAAACTTTTTTTTCTCTCGAAAAGTTCAGAAAAGCAAAAATGTATATATAAATTGTTTCTATCGAAATGTAAAATTTTATAAAGATTGAATCACAGAATCACAGAAAATTGGCAAAATTGTAATAAAGAAAATTCGCAATTTTCAGTTCTGGTCTAATTTAAAGGAAAAGTTGTTCTTCAATGGTGCTATAAGTTTCAACTGAACAGCATACATTTTTAACTTTTGAATATACCAAGAAGAAAGTAACTAGAGAATTCAAATAACTTTTCCTTAAAAATTAGACCAAAACTGAAAATTGCGAATTTTCTTATTACAATAGTTAATAAGTACATTTTTGCCTTTTTAAACTTTTGATTTTGAGAGAAAAAAGGGTTCGCGGATTTTTTTGGACCATTAGAGTACCAAAAAAATTAAAAATTTTCAAAAAATATTTTAAAAAGCACATTACAGAAAAGTTGCACAGAAAAAGGTACACTTTTGTACCAGGCGCCGTAAATCACACTTTTTTGACTCACCCTGTATATATAGTTTCTGGTGTCTGTCTGGGTGTTTGTTTCCAATAAACATAAACATTTTTATTTTTAAAACACATCTGTTTCGTCTTTATAATTTTTATTTTATTTTTTGTTTTGTTTGTTCACGCTCTTAATATTAATCATTTTTGCTATTTGTTAATATAATAGAACCTTTGGTTAATTTTCCAAAACCTGCCATTTGTTAGCAACAGCCCTATATATGAGCTATCTCTTTTTTAACCAAACTTGACCTGGAAGAAAATAATTATCAGAATATTTCATAATATTTAAAGTACCTGCAAATTGGATTTGTAATTTTATCTTTACATTAATATACCATACGCTATGAATGTCTAATTTTATCTTTACATTAATATACCATACGCTATGAATGTCTAATTTTAGCACGTACAAACTAAATTCCTAATACATTGAAGACAAAAACATTTTCTGTAATTATCCAGCCAGATCTATTACAAACAGATCAAATTAAATTTCTTGGCAAAGAGTTTTTATATTTTATTCTTCAACTACTCTTACTAACATTTGATTAATAAAAACATCGATTTATTTCCGTAATATACAAACAAACAATTAACATAAAAAATGAACTATGCTTGGCCAACTGCATTCTGACTTCTTATGTAGAATACAGAAGGTTCAGATACTGCAGTTCTTCTGATAATGTTTTTTAAGAAACTTGTTTGTTGTGACCAAATGAAGTGCACAAGGTAAAATTGCTTCAATTTGAAGTTAAAGTAACTCTGGATGCTATCTCTCCGTGCAAAGTTATATGTTATTCCAATCAAGATAGTTGAGGACAAGACAACTCCAAGCGGAAAGTGTTGCTCGGTTTTCTGAAGGATTACAAGCAGAACCACCATGATAATACAGACTACTGACGCAGAGACCATTGTTCTGAAGCTGACAATGCTGTCAGCATGTCCCGATTCTGCGCTAACAATAGCCATGCTGTGCTGAGTTCTTAAATAGTACTGTATGTAGAAGTAAACAGTGAGAGCAGTTATCAATGCTATCAGCATATGAACACAGTGTGCAATAGAGTATCTGTTCATTGTAATTGTAGCTGTTGTTCCACTGAGGTAAGCATCAAATGGAGAAATGTAACCAGATGAAAGCTGATGAGGCAGAAATGCCATTGTTACTATGAGGTAGAAAATGCCCATGCACACTGACAGTTTTTTTGTGGTAGCTTCCTGATTTAATTCAACCATTCTAGTAAACTTGATGACAAATAGAAGTCGTATTACTGCTACTAAAATAACGAACCCAACAGCTTGGAATCCTGCAAAATCAAGAAGAAAGTGCAAAGCTCTAGCTAGAGGCAAAGGCAGGTGGCAAACTACAGAAGCGAACATTACAGCTAAATTTTGTAGACAGACTATGAAGTTGATAAACTCTACGCCGTAGTAGTTGATCAGGGTGACCATATTGAGTCGATATTCCTGCAAGGAGCGCTTATAGAGTCGTACCATGAATGCAAAAAAGTTAGAGAGAAGTGTGAGCACAAGTCCAACAAAGAAAGGGGACAAGTTTACTTCAAACTCTGTGGTTCGTTTTTCAATCAGGTCTCTTTCTATTGGTACTAGTGGGATTCTTTCTTTGACATCTGTGATTCTAAAGTTTGCCTCCTTGTGATCAATATATTTCAGTGTATCCTTTTGTAGTCTTAGGCCCTTCCACTCTACCTTTAGATCTTTTAGAAGGTCTAATGCCATATCAATTTGAGTTTCAATCTTTCCTATATCTTGAAAATTTGACAGATTGGGGCTGGTTTCTTCATTGATTTCTATTTTTGTTCCAGTGGGGATTGGAAATCCTTGAATAAAAGGAAAACAGCCCCTCAGCGTAAGGATGATTATTGATGATGTTAGAAAAGGCTGAGCTCTGTATGGGGAGAGCATTTCTACAGACTGGTAGAGTTTACTAAAGATAGAGAAAGAGAATATCTGGAGAGAGCAACTAATTTTCCCAGACCAAAGTTGATCATTGACGTCAATGGAAAAATTCATATTTACCGGAATCCTGCCACTCATTCTATTTGATCTATCTGGGCTAATCTCTTATCTCTTATCTTCTCTTCCCTTATCTCCTATCTTCTCTTCCATTATCTCTTATCTTCTCTTCCCTTACCTCTTATCGACTCCTCTTTGTTTTCTCTTTGTTGTTGATATTTAACCGGTTTTGAGATAAACAATGAAGTAGGATCCATTGTTATGATTTTTCTCTGATTTGTTTACATTTCTAGCTTGTAGACCTAATTGAAACGCACTGCGCTTGTACTCCATAATTATTAGGCATTTGATCATTTGGAATTTGATATTTTGATATTTTTGCTATTACATTTTTTACTTTTTTAGAATTGGACCCCTGGTGCCTGTAAATAAAAGAATTTCTGCCAAATTTTTTTGTATTTTGATATTTTTTTTAGTGTTTGATAAATGGGAAAAAACTGTTTTTTGGGACTCTTCAATTCTTTAGATTTTAACCCAATTTTTGCTTCGTGTTTTTAGTTACTTATCAACAATGTATACATTATTCCTCTGTGTTATTTAATTCTCTAAACGTTCAAACACTAATCTCTCTAAAATTTCAAATATTTCCTATTCCTTACAATCCGGCAATTCGGATAATATCCTAAAAACATCTATAAAAAAACAAAAAATTGGTTTAGTTTTAATAATTAATCCTACATAAATTGTTAGGAAAACTTATACCCAATGTTCTTTTTTCGCCTGTGAGACATTCTTATGAGAAATTCTTATTCCTTTAAAAATCTACAAAATTTACCTTTTTACCGAATTATGATTATTTTTAACTCTGAAATTTGATGTATTTGTATTGTATGTATATACGTATTTCTAACCATGTTGAATGTGACATTCCAAAGTACTGATTTAGGCTGATAGTTATTTGGAACACCGGCCAGTCGTTTAACCTTCCTCCAACCTACCCTATGCATCAAAAAAAGATTTTTTTAATGGATACATCGTAAAAAAGCTGAAATACGAGCTATCTACGAGATGGTAAAAACACTATCAATCGCTCACTGTCATACAGACAACTCGGAAAGTTTTACATTCAATTTTAGGCAGCCTTGCAACCATTTTGTATAGCCCTAGGCACATTCATTTTACAAATGTAAAGCGCTTGTGTCAGTTATAGACCAAATACTGCTCGATTTTTTAAAAATAATTTTCGCTGGCGCTGGATTTTCAAACATTCCTGGAAAATATGAAAATGTCGTCTTCATCATCAAAAATCCTCGAAACAGGAATAAATGTTTTCAAAAGTAACTCTCAGATCATGAAAAATACAAAATATTATGAAATATCAACTATTTACGAATACGTCGAAAAATAATCGATGACTTTTTTTTGTAATATCTGAATGATTTATTTGGAATTAAATTGATTTGTTTACGATCAAAGTTGAATGTTGCATCTTTCTGAATTTGTATGGACACTACGTTCTTTGGTATTAGTCGTTTTTAACAATTTTCTCCTTATAGAAATAGAAGTAAGATTAGTAGCGATCAAAAGCGCTTTTTTATCGCATTAAGCCTATATCCCCTTTCTTTTTTCGCGAACATTTTAACATTTTAACTCAGATGTAAGGATGACTTGAACGTAAGAGGGTTTGATCAGTCAAGAAGTTCTTTTAAATAAGTTCTTTATTTTGAATATCCAGCCTCAATACCATCTTGATTTTATACCATTCTTATGGTTGATTTAAAGGCTATTCCATCCAAGGGAGATAAGAAAAAATTTATCCCAAATGGACATTTCGAAATCTTTGTTTCTGTGTGTATGCTTTTTGTTCAGGATCCTTTTCCAGGTAGGAATTTTCTTTTCTTTTTTGCCATGTTCGATCCTTGGAATGATTTTTAGAGAATCTTCCTTGTTTCCTTCCAGGGAGTCAGTAGGTTGCATGTCTACTTGTTTTGTAGCATTCCTTTCAGTGTTTTCCAGCATGTCATCAGTTTTAGCTACTTCTGCTTTGACACCATCAATTTTAGCTACTTCAGCTTTGACAACATCATTTTTAGCTACTTCAGCTTTGACACGATCAGTTTTAGCTTCTTTAGCTTTGACTATGTCCATTTTAACACCGTCAGTTTTAACCATGTCAGTTTTAAATGTATCATTTTTGACAATGTGAGGCATTTTTGCGGCAGAGGAGCTTTGAGTTCCTTGAAGAACTATAAAGATGATTGTCATGGTTAGAGTTTTCATTACAGGGAGTTGGAGTCTAAAACAATGCTTCCCACACACTGAGGATATAAAGAGACTTTTTTCAAACTTTAGAGATTTTTATTCTTCACACACATTACACACATCCAATATATTTAGAGATGGGCTCGTTCATTTTTTTCATTTTGTTCGTTCATCGTGCGTGAACAACCCATTTTGTTAGTTTTTTTCAATCCTTCAAAAAAATATGTTGTTCTTTCTCAAAATTATTGCTAACTTTTCATCTATTTCGTTCGTTTCCTCATTAAATGATCGTTCAGTAAAATCGTTTAGCAAAAAAACAAAACAAACCTGATTAAGGGGGGACATGCCCCTCCCTTAAAAAGGCTGTCCCCCCCTTTAGGGGACAAGAGGTCCACCCTGTTGTGCAATTTAGCGATTCATGAATTCCTGGGAAATAAAGTATTCTTAGATATTTTCACGATGGTTTGCCACTTATTATGATATTGCTTTAAAACTGCAGTAAAACTATTAACTTAATCCTACATGTTCACCGCAAATATTGTGTGATGTGTCATATTCAAAAAAATATTTTTCATTTAAAATCATGATTTTTTAATGAAAGGCATTTCTTGTCAGTGTCTGAGTACAATGATTTATGGATGTATAATGAATATATGTATGTGTAAATTGTAAATCAATTATAACATTAAGATTTAAATTAACCAGAATAGATTTTTTTTTATTTCACATCAGATGTGTTGACTTACTGAATATCTGGTTGGTAACTTTGGTAGTTTTTTTATAGTGGAGAATAATACACAATTTTCTTGCCCCCCCCCCCACATAAAAAATTTTAATGGGGCGCGAAATTGTTTCATCTTGCCCCCCCCCCCTAACAAAATGTCTAGTTGCGCGCCTGTTTGTTTGTTCAGAAAAAAAAACAATCCTTTTTCAAGTTTGTTTGAACTAATAAAATGTTTCGTTTTTGTTTTTTTGTTCGTTTTTTTTAAAAACATTGTTTTTTTATCACTCTGAATGATCCAATTCGTTCGTCTATCAATCGTTTTTTTCTGAATATTACCATGGTTCACAAAAAATGTTATTGAATCACAAAAACGATGCTTATCTTTATTCCAAACCTTCTATAGATCTATATCTCAAACCTTCTATAGATCTATATCTCAAACCTTCTATAGATCTATATCTCAAACCTTCTATAGATCTATATCTCAAACATTTCTTAATAGATGATCAAATACTTGAAGTATAATTCAATTGTTTAGTTAAGATGATAAATAAGTATATTTTTTTAAACCACTCTTTAAACTTATATTTAAACAATAAACTTACAAGATTTGACATGAACAACATTTCTTCTTTTTATCCAAATTTTCTGGCTCAACGTTTTTTTGCGTTGGAGGAGCTACATCTTTTTCAGGAGTCTTAAAGGGAATTTTAGAACTATCAGGAATAGTTTTGGTTTCTGGTGAAGGAATAGTTTGGGATGTAGTTTCACGTTTTGTCGTGTTTAATCCAAACAGAAATTCACGGCGTAATTTCTCTTTTTCAGACAGGGTTTTATCGGCAAAAATTGAATCATACAGTTTAGGTTTAGGAGCAGGTTTCAAGACAAGATCTTCTGCTAGTTCTGAAGATTCCGCAGAGTTTGAAGTTGTTTTTTTAGACAACTGTAAAGACTCATTTCCTCCTTTGTGAGGAGGATTTGAGAAGTTCAAGTCCTTTGGAATAATATCAAATTTATTTTCTAGTTCCTTAATCTGACTTTGAACCTTTTGTTCCGCTAATATCTCAATTTTAATCGAGGAACTATTTTCTTCCTGGGTAAATTTGGAGGCACTATTTTCCTGAATTCCAAGATGGCGTGCTGTTGCTTTCTTCACCAGCTCCTCGTGCATTCTTGACTTTGCCATCATTGACATGTGGCTTATTCCATCAGCACCATTGGATGAAACCATTGCAGGGGGCGGGGGTGGAGGGGGTGGTGGAGCAGTAGCTGCACCATTCATATCTGTGTTCATAGGAATATCCATGTCAGAATTAGAATCCTCTGAGTCAGATTCCTCTAAATATTTTCTTATTATAACAAAACCTTGATTTAACAATATATCTATAAGTTTTTTTTGTAGGGGGGGGGGGAGTGTATTGCACATTGTTTAAGCATGGCTGAGAGATGCAGATTGATCTACAATACTTGTTATTTTACAATTTTAATACTTATTTTTAACCTGGAGAGGAGTAATGGACAATCTCGTCAACTCCAGGTCTATAGTGGAGATTATAGAACTCAAGAAGAGCATCAGCTAGTACCTTGACAATAGAAATTTAAATTTAAAATAAATGTTAACGTATTTTTAACTCTAATAGTAAACTTTAGATTTTTGTCTCAGGAGAAAAAATGAAGATATCCGTATTTTCTTTTTATGAACAATTCATTAAAAAGTTTAGATCTCTACCTGAGATATACCATCTCTTCGTTCCTGTTCTTTAGTTCTAACAGAGAGTGGGAGTTCTACTTGTATACAGTCAACACCACCTTCTTTACTATGTTCTCGAACTTGAAAAAGAAAATTCTACCTTTAAAATAAAACTTTTGTGGAAAATTAAAAGAATGGTTTCTCATATGAATAATGTTAATTAAAACGTAAAATGCTGATTAAATATTTACTGGTTTATAACTTTTTCAGGAAAGTATGGAGCTTAGACAGTTCTGAAATGTGATATAATTTTGAGAATAGTTTTAAAACAGTTACTCAAAAAAAAACAAGATTGTCCGCCCTTAAATATCCCTACTTTTGGTTTTTACCTGTATGGCCACCAATATAATATCCCAGCTTCCCTGGAGATGGTCGTTCTACAGATGGAACGCTCTTAATACCAGTCAAAACAGGACACTGTAATAATTAATTAAATTTGGCTTTTGTAAATATTGTAAATATTGTTCTTGTATTGCCAATTTATCCAGACCTGATTTATTGCATTGGAAAGACAGGCTGGGAAACTCTGTGGCCCGATCAGGGCTTCTTCAACACGATTGACACCAAACTTCCGGCGCACAAGATGGCGGAGTGTAAAGACATGGCGCGCAGATGATGTCATAACACTCTTCCAAGTCCTTTTCTCATTCTAGTATTTAAAAGTAAAATATGAATTAAATAAAAAAGTTGGATATAAAAAAAAATTAGGCTACCTCAATGTTGGCAATTTTGTTAAGAAGCTCTGAGGTTAGTCTATACCCGAGCTCTATGTACTCATGAGGATGCCCGTGCCCATGGAGGTCAATCAGAAGGATTCCAGGTACAACTTCAGGACCAGCCTTACAGTAACCTAATAAAATAATGCTGGAGTTAGCATCATTAAAATTTTGATTTCTGTCAAATATAATATGGGGCGCTGAACAAAAAAGTTGTCAGAGTAAAATCTGAGAATTATGTATACAAATCTTTACTGAGCGACGGAAAAAGAAAGGAATTTTAAAAAATGACCATTTCTACCTATAGCCTACCATCTGCCTCCGGCCTCACCTATGGCTTGTTGAATCCAACCATGATAAGTATCCAGTATCTCCTGGGCCTCCTGTCCTCTCTGCTCAACGGCTATCTCATCCAGGCTTCGGTTACATTCAACCTTGCTTCGATGAAGATGACATTCGATTGTGTGAGGACGGAGTCCAAAAGTTTCCAGCCTTTGATTTCATCCAAAAATCATGATGCAAATAGAAATAAAAAAAATCTATATATATAGAGATTAGACCTCACTGAAGATTGGTCCATGTCAATTGGTCCATGAAACATTGTGTATAGGGATGTATATCTGTTTTTTTTTTATTGAATACTAAATTGATTATGTATAATTTTGCATTTAAACGCCGATTTCACTTAGCCTTAGTTTACCATACATAAGCTGAAAGGATTGGCTTTGCATGAGAGTTTTAAGAATTAAAAGATAAACCTGTCAAATAAAATTAGTATTCTTAATCGTTTTTGCTTCGTTTTTTTAAATTAAAATCGTTTAAATAAACTCCCCACACTTCACAACTGTATTCCATTAAAGTTCGCTTTTATTAACTTTTCACTTTGTTTGTCCTAGAAAATAAAATGGAAAAATTAACTAAAAACGTCAAAGGATCGTTTTAACACGGTTTGTTTGCCTCAATTTAGTTTTTTTTTTGCAAATGTGCTCTCTTGGGTCAAAAATTGGCATAGTGCAAGAAAACAAATGTCCAGAATTAATAATTTTTACACTATATGCCAAATTTTGACCTTGAGATAAAATATATAAAAAAAACTAACCAAAACGATTTGCAACAATGATTGCCTCAGAAAGAACATAAAGATTTACTTTAGAAAATTAAAGACGACTTCCATAAAACTATTTAAACTCATGATGAAAATCCTTCCTTGCAGAAACATCATATCCTATTAGGTCTGTTCCAGCATCCCGGGCATAGGTCTTTATAGGATGTTCATTTCCACCTATCCTGAATAATAATAATAATAATAATAATAATAATAATAATACAGTGATAACCAGAAAACTCTGAAACAAGAAGACGACTTTCAAACTCAAGTTAGGACTAAAACCATAACAATTAGACATAGCAATTGTACAGTGTAAATAGACCCTTTTCTTTTAAATTGTGCTTTGCTAAGTTACTAGTAAAAATAATTACTTCGTAACAACATCAAAACGCCTAAGTATTGCTAAAATGTCGTCTTTCTATTCCATTGTTTTCTGGTTATCATTGTAATAAAAAAATTTTTAAGTGAAAATGGTTGGGATTGAACCATAAACCTTTTATAATTCTGGAGTAGTCACTGAACCAGCATGCATACGAATTGCATATATTGATATCAATTTTGTTTTTAGCGAACATGTTTGTTAGAAGTATTTGTTAAAAAAAGTTTGAAAGTTCATTTTTAAACAAACAATTTGAAAATTGTCAAACGGTACTTTAAAATGTAGCAACAAAATGAGATGCAGCTGTGAATTGTTTTTCTCAGAGCTACAGTTAGAACCAGAAAACTGTGTAATAGGAAGACAACATTAAATCAGTACTTAAACGTATTTAATGTTGTAACAAAGAAAGAATTTTTACTTGTAACTTCAATTAAGCGAAAAATGTCTGTTCACACTTCACATTTGCTGTGTCTCATGTTCAAAACTTTAGTCTAACAGTCGTTTTCCTCAAGTTCTCTCTGTGAAAAAGGTTTTAGTTCTCAACAGTAGATTTTCTTAGTTGTTTTAAGCGCGGTTATAAACAGACCCATACAACTGAGAAATAGGAAGACGACTTTTATTCTCAAGATATAATTTTAAATAAAGATGATATTTGACAATTGTGAAGTGTATACAGACTGCAAATCCATTTCACATAATATGAGATGAGTTTCTGGTAAACAAGATTTCTTAATATCCTTTTCCTATTCCATAGTTTTGTGGACCTCAATATATTACCTATATTCCCTGCATGTGGTATTGTAAGGATAAGGTTGGTTTCTCCGTATGTCCAAGTAACTGCCTAAAGAGAATATATCTACATACATACATCATAAAGGAGTGATCCCTGTGTTTCATGGTAAGTCCAATCATAGCCCACAGACCCCCTTGACCGATTTTCCTCCAATGTTGATTGGGAGAGCTTGGTAGAACAACGAAAATGTTCTAGTTTGGTTTATAGAGAAAGTTTAGTTTCTATGCAAATTTGGGATTCCAATCTAAAAAAAATTTCATTCATTTATTTTCTAACATTTCTGGCAACATTATTTAAAAAAGCGGATATTAACACAAATAATAAAAAAAAAGGAAGAAAGAACATAGATGGGAAATTTTGAATAGGAAATTTCGAGAAATCAGTTGCTAAACTCTATTTAATTCCAGCTTAATTTGTATTTTCCATATTCATTAAATCTCCAGTTTTTGACCTCCTCATTTACCTTGAACTTCTCTATTTGACCTCCATGTTTACCTTGACCTCCTCTATTTGACCTCCATATTTACCTTGACTTCCTCTATTTGACCTCCATAATTACCTTGACTTCCTCTTTTTGACCTCCATGTTTACCTTGACTTCCTCTATTTGACCTCCATATTTACCTTGACTTCCTCTATCTGACCTCCATATTTACCTTGACTTCCTCTATTTCACATACTTTATTTGACCAACATATTTACCTTGACCTCCTCCATTTGACCTACATGTTTACCTTGACCTCCTCTATTTGACCTCCATATTTACCTTGACTTCCTCTATTTGACCTCCATATTTACATTGACTTCCTCTAGTTGACCTCCATATTTACCTTGACCTCCTCTGTTTGACCTCCATTTTTAAGCTCCAACCAAAGTTTTCTGCCCCCCTCCTCCTCCTCTATCCGACAAAACTAAAAATAAATAAAAATATTTGATATTTTATGAATTCCAACAAATATTCAACATATTTTACACACAATGCATCATATTTTACTAAATTTACGAATCACTTTAAGCTAAACGATATATTTACAAAAAGTTATAAAAAATTTAAAAATATTTATGAGATTACTTTTAAACGTAATTTCAAGAGAACCTCTCTGTTAATAGAGTGGCATGTCCGATTCACGACTGCATCTTTAAAAGCTTTGTCTGATGAAATTTGAATTATCTATGCATGTTTTTTTAAACTGCTTTTTCATTTATGGTTTCTCTGCACGATGTTATCTCCCACATTATTGAAGAGATTAAGGATCTCTTCAAACAATAGCTTTTACCTCAATAATTTATAAAATTTAGGAGCTAATTTAATCTATCCTAAGGGGTCAAATGATTTAAACTAAACATAAATTTTGAAAATAAATCCTCCAAGTTTTTTTTAAAGTCTGGAAATAATATGAAAAAAAAATCAATTACGTAGGTGAGTCTTCATGGTAAACATTGATTGATTAAAAAAGAAACCAGCTTAAAATTTATCAAATGGACTGTTAGGTAATTTCAAGTGACCTTCCATTTGTAGAGTTTCGTGTCCGCGTGCAATTCACAACGGTACCCTGTAACTCTGGAACTTTTCAAGGATGACGGACGTTTTTACATAAACTCTTTTAGTTTTTGATAACTTTGTTTTCAACAAGGTTTTGTATTAAATAAATTTTAATATGTACTTTTTATAAGTTGCATGAAAGAATAATTTCATTTGAATTTTGAAAACAGCGTTGGACTTTATTCAGGATTTACGTGAAAAATATGTTAAATCAATGTTCACACTGTTATATACTCTAGTTTTCCGGCAATTTGAACAGTATTATACAAATAAAAATACTGAGTTCGTGGTTTATTAGTTTGAAGTTAAAAGGTTTCCACGCAAATCTAGGATTCTCCTTTTTGAATGGAAGATAATTCTAAATTACTCTTCATTTTACCTTAGTCATCAGTCGTTACAATTCATCAGAGTATCTGAGAATTAGACTTTACTGAAATCCTTCTGAAAATTTAAAGAACTTTATGGAGATAAATTTTCTTTTCTTTTGGTACCTATAGTGTGCATGCTGTATACTTGGTGTGTTATAATATATATACTGTATACTAGGTGTGTAATAGTATATATACTGTATACTAGGTGTGGTATAATATATACTGTATACTTGGTGTGTTATAATATATACTGTATACTAGGTGTGGTATAATATATACTGTATACTAGGTGTGTAATAGTATATATACTGTATGCTAGGTGTGGTATAATATATACTGTATACTAGGTGTGGTATTGTGTACACTATTTACTAGGTGTGGTATGCTGTACACTATATACTAGGTGTGGTATAGTGTCCACTGTATTGCATACTAGGTGTGGTATAGTGTACACTGTACACTATGTGTGGTATAGTGTACGCTGTATACTAGGTGTGGTATAGTGTACACTGTACACTATGTGTAGTATAGTGTCCACTGTATTGTATACTAGGTGTGGTATAGTGTACACTTTGTACTAGGTGTGGTATATTGTACACTGTACACAAAGTGTGGTATAGTGTACGCTGTATACTAGGTGTGGTATAGTGTACGCTGTATACTAGGTGTGGTATAGTGTACTTTGTACACTAGGTGTGGTATAGTATAGACTGTATAACAGGTAAGGTATAGTGCATACTGTATACTGTACACTAGGTGTGGTATAGTATAGACTGTATAACAGGTAAGGTATAGTGCATACTGTATACTGTGTGTGGTATAGTGTGCACTGTATACTAGGTGTGGTATAGTGTACACTGTATTCTAGGTGTGGTATAGTATAAACTGTATACTAGGTGTGGTCTAGTGTACACTGTATACTAGGTGTGGTATAGTGTACTTTGTACACTAGGTGTGGTAAAGTATACACGGTTAATAGGTGTGGTATAGTGTATACTGTATAATAGGTATGGTATAGTGTATACTGAATACCAGGTGTGGTATAGCGTAAACTGTACTCTGGGTGTGGTGAAGTGTACTCTGTATACTGGATGTGGTAAAGTGTACTTTGTTTACTAGGTGTGGTATAGTATACACTGTATATTAGGTGTGGTATAGTGTATATTGTATACTGGATGTTGTATAGTGTACACTGTACAATATGTGTGGTATAGTGTACACTGTATACTAGGTGGGGTATAGTGTACACTGTATACTAGGTGTGGTATAGTGTACAATGTATACTAGGTGTGGTATAGTGTATACTGTATACTATGTGTGGTATACTGTACACTGTATACTAGGTGTTGTATAGTGAACACTGTACACTATGTGTGGTATAGTGTACACTGTGTACTGGGTGTGGTATAGTGTCCACTGTATTGTATACTAGGTGTGGTATAATGTACACTGTATACTAGGTGTGGTAAAGCGTACACTGTATACTAGGTGTGGTATGGTACACACTGTAACTGGGTGTGGTATAGTGTACAGTATACAGTGCTTACTGGGTATGGTATAGTATACAATGTAACCGGGTGTAGTAAGGGTGTACACTTGTAACTAGGCGTGGTAAGGGTGTACATTGTCACTGTAACTGGGTGGTGTAAGAGTGTACACTTGTAACTGGGTGGTGTAAGGGTGTACAACTGTAACTGGGGGCCGTACACTTGTTATTGGGTGCGGTAGTGCAGTATGGGTGTACACTTGTAACTGGGTGTGGTATACTGTACACTGTAACTGGGTGCGGTAATGGTGTGCACTTGTTACTTGGTCTGGTAAGGGTGTACACTTGTAACTGGGTGTGGTTTAGTGTACACTTGTAACTGGGTTTGGTAAGGGTGTACACTTGTAAGTGGGTGTGGTATAGTATATACTGTAACTGGGTGTGGTATAGTGTACACTTGTAACTGGGTGTGGTATAGTGTACACTTGTAACTGGGTGTGGTATAGTGTACACTTGTAACTGGGTGTGGTAAGGGTGTACACTTGTAACTGGGTGTGGTATAGTGTACACTGTAACTGGGTGTGGTATAATGTATACTGTAACTGGGTGTGGTATAGTGTACACTGTAACTGGGTGTGGTATAGTGTACACTTGTAACTGGGTGTGGTATAGTGTACACTTGTAACTGGGTGTGGTAAGGGTGTACACTTATAACTGGGTGTGGTATAGTGTACACTGTAACTGGGTGTGGTATAATGTACACTGTAACAGGGTGTGGTAAGGGTGTGTTTGAATACACACTAGCCTGGGCTGGTTAACTGGGCTAGAGAGACTATTGGAGAAAGCTGCCGGAGTGGTGGATATATAACATGACTTTCTCTTCAGAGTCCAGGTGTCACAAATTATAAAGGATTTAAAGAATTTAAAAGAAGAACTTAATAATTCTTTTTATATTTGTCTAACCTATTGAGGTGTTATGGATATGTTTTTAAATATGTAAAACCCATTTTTTATAATTTGTATATTTTTAAAACCCCCTGTTGTAATATTTAGTTTATTATTATGTTTACTTCCAGCACTCTCTCTACTTTATAAACAAATTTTACTCACGGTCCACGGACGCTCTCCGAGTTTTATGTAAACGGACGCATAATACTCACGGACGTTATCTCATCCTTACACACTGACGCACAAACTTAACAACGGATGCTCTTCCATCCCTACACACGGACGTACGCCACTACTCACGGATGCTTTACATCCTTACACACGGAGGCACAAATCCTATTTACTTATGGATGCTGTACATCCTTACAGAGTACAAACGGACGCACACATCCATAATCATGGATGCTTTACATCCTTACAAACGGACGCACAAATCCTGTATACTCACGGATGCTTTACATCCTTACACACGGACACTCACGGATTTTACCTTACACAAGGACTAACAAATTCTACTCACGGACGATTTCTAAATGAACTGTAAATGTACTCGTACATAAAAATGGACTCAAAAATCTACATAACACAACACACAGAAAAAGTACAAAATTTTTAGATCCTATACCAATTCCAAAAATTGTCCGGCCCATTTTTAGACATATTTCATTTGCATTAACAATGCCAAATTACAAAATCCTTACAACAAAACAAAATATGTAGATTAAAGGGACTGTAAACGTAATTTCAAGTGACTTTCCATATAAAGATGGCAATATACCCGATTCTCAACGGTACCCTTCAAATCTTGTCTGATCAATATGAATTATTTATCAATGTTTTTATTTTGAAAACTGGTTATTTTCTCAAATGCGTTTCTCTTCTAAGTGACTAGCGCATGTCACCTGGAGGAAATTATATAGGAATTACCAGAAATAAACACTTTTAACCCGAGAAAAAAGACCAATATTTTCACCATTATTAATCAGATAAAGATTTCAAGGGTACCGTTGTGAATTGGGCATTACAATCTTAGCATGGAGGGTCACTGGAGACTCAGCAAAAAAAACCTTTTNCATCTTTTGTACTGCAGTGTACTGTCTCTGGGCGGTAATGTAAACACAAGACGGATGTCAAAGCCTGACATGGGATCTATCTTTCACATAAAAAAATCAATGAAATTTTCTGGTCATAGGAATCTATAATGTGAATTATCAAACGTATCAAATTTAATGTTTTTAACCTCCTCGGATACTAAACGAACACTGCTGCATCTATTCTATCTACAAATTCCGCCCAAAGAGAACTGGTTTCAATGTGAACGCAGAGTATACACGACCGCAATTAACTTTCCTTGCATTACACCCTTGTGAAATACTAAGAAATAATGAAATAGAAAACTCACGCAACCTCTCTCTCCAACCTACGCCGACCAAGAGAAATCTGAAGTCAAAACTTACGTTTAAGATGGCGCCAATATTTCAAACGTCAGAGAAAGTGCTTGATCACTTTATTTTAGTTATCCTAGCAGAGTGTGATCGCCACGGGATATTAGCTCCTGAAATACAAATCTTACATGTTTTGAAAAAAAAACTAAAAAAACTGAAATTTTATTAGCTTATTTCTGTTTCTGTAACTACCATCATTAACACCCTGTATTTTAATTTATCTCTACATTAAAATCCCTCTGATCTCACCCAGCCACAGATCACCTGATAATCTCCTTCTTACCTATCCAAAAACATAACTTGACATGTGTAACCAATAATATTCGGTATCGTTAATTAACTTCGGGCCAACCACTCAAAACAACCAACCCTGGTTAGGCAGGTCCAAACTGCATAGTAAATTGTGATTGCTTATTTGTAATATCTAATGCTTTGTGTTTGAATAAAAAATATGAAAATGAAAATATGAACTAAGAAGTCAGGAAATTTCATTAAGAAATTAGACCCCTTTTTAAAATTAAGAAGAAAAAAAGAAAATTGAAAAACAATGGAAGAAAAATTTCTCTTCGAAATGCTAGCTAATAGAAATAGAAAATCAATAAATATTAGAAAGAAACTTTTCGGGACTTTAGTTTCAAGTAACCCTTGAATTAAAGAGACAAATTAAAGAAAATAATGCATTTAGAGAGAATATATATGAGATCGAGAATAGAAGAGACAAATTAAAGATAATAAAGTATTCAGAGAGAATATATATGAGAATAGAGAATTAAAGAATCAAATTAAAGATAATAAAGTATTAAGAGAGAATATATTTGAGAATAGAGAATTGAAGAGACAAATTAAAGATAATAAAATATTAATAGAGAATATATATGAAAATAGAGAATTGAAGAGACAAATTAAAGATAATAAAATCTTAAGAGAGAATATATATGAGAATAGAGAATTGAAGAGACAAATTAAAGATAATAAAATATCAAGGGAGAATATATATGAGAATAAAGAATTAAAGAGACAAATTAAAGATAATAAAGTATTAAGAGAGAATATATATGAGAATAGAGAATTAAAGAGACAAATTAAAGATAATAAAGTATTTAGAGAGAATATACATGAGAATAAAGAATAGAAGAGACAAATTAAAGATAATAAAGTATTAAGAGAGAAGATAAATAGAATTGAAGAAACAAATTAAAGATAATAAAGTATTAAGAGAGAATATATATGAGAATAGAGAATTAAAGAGACAAATTAAAGATAATAAAGTAAGTGGAAATAAAGATAAGATAAAGATAAAGCTAGAATTTGACCCTGAGAGGCAATCACATTGCGCACAATCCTACAGTTCATTGGTTAGTGTACAATAATATTTGAAAAACAAGCTGTACACTGTACAGAGCTAGTGTACAATAATATTTGAATTACAAGCTGTACACTGTACAGTTTGTGTACAAAAATAATTTGAATTACAAGCTGCGCACTGTACAGTTAGTGTACAACAAAATTGTGCTTTGCAAGCTGTACACTGCACAGTTAGTGTATAGAAAAAATTATAATTACAAGCTGTTCACTGTACAACAATAATCTGAATTACAAGCTGCAGTGCACTGTACAGTTAGTGTAAAACAATATTTGAAATGAAAGCTGTACACTGTACAGTTAGTGTACAACAATATTTGAATTGAAAGCTGTACACTGTACAGTTAGTGTACAACAATATTTGAATTGAAAGCTGTACACTGTACAGTTAGATAAAGCTAGAATTTGACCCTGAGAGGCAATCAACATTGTGCACAATCCTACAATTCATTGGTTAGTGTACAATAATATTTGGATTACAAGCTGTACAGTGTACAGAGTTAGTGTACAAAAATACTTTAAATTACAAGCTATACTCTGAACAGTTAGTGTACAACAAATATTTTAATTACAAGCTGTACACAATACAGTTAGTGTCCAACAATAATTTTAATTACAAGCTGTACACTGTACATTTAGTGTCCAACAATAATTTGAATTACAAACTGTTTTCTGGATAGTTAGTGTACAAAAATATTTGAATTGAAAGCTGTACACTATACAGTTAGTGTACAACAATAATTTGTATTACAAGCTGCAGTACAAGTTAGTGTACAACAATATTTGAATTGAAAGCTGTACACTATACGGTACCATAGTGTACAGCATACTTTACCACGATACGCTTAATACAGGATTTGTAATAATTTCAACAACTTAAACTATTTTTTTTATTTCCAATAATAAGTTTCTTTTGAGGGACTATGTAACATTAAAGATACAAATAAAAGAGCAATTATTTTTGGGTTTATTTCCAGGTGCGACCCCCCCCCTCATCTGCTCCCCTTAAACATTATATTCATAATCATTGATTATTATTATTATTAATAATTACGAATACGTAACTTACCCACAACGTCTGCTTGTGGTTTCTTGAAATACTCAATTACGACATGAAAATTATCCCCCTTTCACCTGTTTTTCAGATTCAGGGGGGGGGGACAGTAGTCGGTAGGGTTGAAGGGGTTAAGATGAAGGATTAAGAGCAGGGGGCCTATTATACTAACACCTGTCCAGTCCCTCAAGGGTTAATCATTAACTTCTTATTGAAGGAAAGGTTTTGATGTAAAAATTAAATAGATACTGGGTCTACTGGTTTAACCCACAAAATATGAAACTTGAAATTGAATTAAAGTTAAGTCTACAGATATTTTAACATTTCACTGACTAAAATCCAACTTTTAGATGCAAAAATTGCACCATTTAAACGAAAATATTTGTGTTATATAAAGTGAAAGCTTGAAAAAATATAGTTGATCAAGGCCCATTGTTATTATTTGACAATTTAACCGTATTAAATGGGTCCATATGTTGCTACCTATTCCAAATGTCAAGGGGCGATGAGGATGGGGGGTGGGGCCATGATTCATATTATTAAGAGGGGGTTTGTTTTTTAAAATATTAAGAAAAAAAAGTTAAATTAAAAAAAATTGTTATGCCCCTTTCAGACCCTAAGTGTGTCAATTAGGATAAGTATTGCACATGTTCACATATGTGGGGGGTTTCCTCGGAGTATTTAGAAAAAAAGAGATATCAAGCTTTACGTCTTTTTGATCAAATGTTCATTGTTCATGTTAATTTTTGTTCATTTGTAAATGGGGACTAAGACCCCCCTCTCTAAATTATTGCACAGGGGGGCAATAAGCATAAATAGTATCTCTTGTACATAAATTACAACTCATGTACATAAATTGCATCTCCGTACATATTTCACAACTCTTGTACATAAATTACATCTCTTCTTGTTCAAAAACTGTATCTCTTGTACATAAACGAAGACTCTAAGAAACCAAGTATCAAATATATAAAAAATGTTTCTGACAATCAATTATTAGACATATTATTAGACATATAAACTGTCAGAGAAAAGATTTACCGACAAAGACAGTAGCGAGAGACAAATCTTTTAGATTTCTAATAACAATTCAGAATGCTTTGTACCCTGAATTTAGCTCCAATTTTACAATCCTTATATCTTTGCAACCTGAGATCTACAGACTACAAAGTGTGAAAATCCAAATGTTTACACAATAAGCTTGCAAAGATATTGGGATTATAAAATAAGAGTGTTTGGTGTGTGTTCAGTTTCTTTGAGAAATTGTATAACATGGGAAAAAAGCTTGAAAATAATCAATATTAATTTCATCAAACCTTTTTGGCCTCATTTTGAACCCCGAGCCTCCCCCTCCCCTTCAATCCCTTACTCCTATCAATCCTTCTTCGACTCTGTTTACAAGATTTAAAGAAGATTTACAACATGGGAACATGGATAAATAGATTAATAGATAGAGAGATAGATAGATAGATAGATAGATAGATAGATAGATGGGAACATGGATAAATAGATTAATAGATAGAGAGATAGATAGATAGATAGATAGATAGATAGATAGAAAGATAGATAGATAGATAGATAGATAGATAGATAGATAGATAGATAGATAGACAGATAGATAGACAGATAGAAAGACCCATAAACTTTGGAAAAGGAAGACGGCATTTTAGTAATTGTGTGTGTATTTGTTGAAGTTGAATGCTATACGTATGACAGGAAATAGATCGGAATTCATTCCTCAATTTATGTTTTTTTGTTCATTGGACTAATTACAGCCATAACTTGAAGTTGGGTTTCCTTTTCCACAGATTTATGTGTCTTATTGTAGATAGATAGATAGAAACATTATTGCTAATAAGAAAAAATTTTGATAAAAATTCGGCGAAGACGATAATAATCCGGAGTCTGTTCAATATTGAAAAAAACTTAGGTTTAACAATACATTAAGAGGGTTCTTTTCCTTGAAATATTAGAGGGCGTTTAAAGGGACTGTAAGCGTAATTTCAAGTGACCCTCCGTGCAAAAATGACTGCACTCGATTCACAACGGTACTTGAAAGCTTTGTCTGATTAATTGTATGAATTAGATATCAATTTTTTATAATAATGAAAGTAGATTATTTTCAATTTTAATTTCTCTTAAAGGGAGTGTTCGCGAAAAATGAAAGGGGGTATAGGCTTAATGCGTTAAAAATGCGCTTTTAATCGCTACTAATCTTACTTCTATCTGTTGCGTCAATAAGGAGAAAATTGTTAAAAACGACTAATACCGAAGAACGTAGTGTCCATACAAATTCAGAAAGATACAACATACGACTTAGACCGTAAAAAAATCTATTTAATTTCAAAATCTCATTCTAGAATATGGCTAAGATGTTTCTTAAAAATGTTGAAAAGTGGGAGCTAAACATTAAACAGCTGACTCTCTGAGAATTTAACATCTTCTGTCTAATCCTGAAGATTAGATGGATAAATAAATATTTGGTATTCCTTTATAAGTATAAAGTGTTGCTCCCTTGGATAGAATACTTTCTTTTGTCGAAAAAAGTATCGTTAAAATTTCATATTCATGGTTCTGACGGCAGGGAGACCTCGATTTTTTGTGGATTTTAGCCATATTAGAGACCTTTTAACTGCTTTTTCAGGCATCAA